TGAGATAAAAAAAGTAATTAAAAAATATATTGATGATACAAGCAAATCAGTGTATGTAAATAAGATGAAAATAATATGTAATTCAAACACAACATTTTTTCGAGTGTATTTTGTCTTTTGTGAGACAAGCTTTCAGTTCAAACTTTATGAAAACTTGTCTAAGTCAAGTTAGTGTGAAAGCATTAAATTAGTCATTGGCAAATGTCAAATCTTAGTCGAATTTTCATGGTAAATTTTTTTTTTTTTTTGAGAAATCTTGAAAATTATATAAAATGTATAGACATAACTAGGAGGTTATCGGCTGTGCTAAGCACAGCCTAGGCCCCCTATAATCTATTGTCATATAAAATAAGATTAACAGTAATGTTTGCGAAATAGCATTCTTAAAATTATAAATTACCAATCAAGTATGCAGCTAACAATATGAGACTAAACAAAACAAAAAAATCATTAGCATTGCAAAAGAGAAGAGAAGATGACAAAAGATTGGCAAGTAGTTTGACAAATAGCTTAACATCTTCAAGTGCAAGTTAGTCTTACAGAGACAAGAGATGACTTGCTAAATACTTAATATAAAGTGCAATCATAGGCTGCAATTACAAAAGATCACATATTGAGATCCATTAAGGTGCACAAAAGAACAAGTGGTTAATTGATCACAGCCAATGCCCATTGAGATTAATTGATTGCTGTCAAGAAGTAACCCTACGCACAAAAAAAAAACACAAAAGGGACATCCTCATGAAATACACAAAAATGAGTCCAACATCTAGTGAGGATTTATAAATTTTCAATATAAAAGGTTCAAGAAAACATGTCAGAAAACTAAACTTTCCAAGACACAACTAAGAGGATAAACACTTCATGATAACCAAAATTGAAACTTACATCTAATAGGCCATAAAAACAGAAAAATAAATGAAAAAAAATCCAAAGCAGAGTATAAACTGTAATAATACATCTTCCCTAGCACACAGATGTAGTCTTATTGCAAAAAATCATTTTTTCATATTCCTTTTTAAATATCAATTAGAGATATGATTTATACATCTTAATATTTTTTCCCACACTGTAAAAATATAAGTTTTAACATATTTTTTCCAATAAGTCCTAGACAAATAAAAACCTAAGAAATTACTTTCTAAACACATAAGGCTCATAACTGGCATATTTGTTTTTATTTTTGTGCCATCAATTAAATCATCTCTTATCCAATCTCTATGTATTGTGAAAAATTTATCAATTTTTCATATCTCTTCCTGTCACTAATCCAAGGAATAAGGAGAGTGTTTATAAAATTAAATAAAGGCGATGCACTTATATATGCTTTGTAAATAATTAACCTAGCATTTAAACCCCTTCTCATTATGTTTATACTCTCATTAGACAAAAAATATCAATTTTGGTATTTATTTTCCCTTAAAGTATAAATAATTTTAAAAATTTATAAAAAGAATAAATAAGGTTGCATTCTAAATATTAACCTTGCATTTTAACGCTCAGGTAAGGACAAAAATATTAACCTTGCATTTGAATGCTCGGGTAAGGACAAAGTGTCTAGGTAGAGAATCTAATGACTTAGAACTTAGAATAATAATCATTTCCCAACTTTATTTTCACAAGAAAATGCTCAGTTTTTCAGTAGATTAAATTTGCTCATATTTAGCATTGTCATTATTTAAAAATTATTGGCAACTTAAGCATGCTAATTTCAAAACTCTAGCTTCAAAATAGAGTTTTAACATCTACAGGAGTACAAGGAAGAAAAGAGCAGGGACAAAAAATTATTAGAAGTACCGAGAATTTTTTGTCAGTATCATAGAGTAGGCAATTAAATAGCAAGAAAAATAGTCAAATAGTCAAAGCTACAGAAGTAAAGCTAAAATTGAATCACAAGCTCAAGACATACAAATTATTAAATATAATTCAACAATTGAATTTGACAATCAAAATTAAGGCTCAGATTATTAGTTAATAAAAGCTTTGCTAAAAGAAGAGCACAAGCATTTGAACTCAACAAATAGCCCTATAGATTCCAAATAAGAAAAATTACTCTTCTGTGACTCACTTATTTCTCCAATTAGCAGCAAGAATAAAACAAAACATTTTTGAATAACCTAACAGCTAAAAAGAAGCAAGAAATACCTATTACTCAATTGATGGTAGCAAGATTTGTTTTAATTTGTTGCCTCCTACAATAACAACAAAAATTCATTCAGATACTCACCAAATAAATGAAAAAGCATTCTTCTTTTGCATCGTTTATAGTTTAACGTAACCCATAGGCAGTAGTGGAGTTGTGGAAGCATGCACATTTTACGTGAGCAACAAGTGCCCATTTCCCATATGGCCTGCCACTGCCCCGAACCAAGGCTTTCCAGTCGTAGCAAACGGTGGCTTCTATCTTCCATCCGGGAGACTCCGGAAATTCCAGGCACCAGGAGATTCGAGTGGCCGCATCTGGGCCAGAACAGGCTGCAATTTCGACTACTCCAACGACGGACGAGCCTGTGAAACAGGCGACTGCAACGGGCGACTCGAATGCGCCGGGGTGATCGGCGTTCCTCCTGTGACGCTAGTAGAGTTTACGTTGCAGGTTGACAAGAGGCAGCCGAGTTTCTACGACGTAAGTATAGTGGATGGCTACAACCTCCCTGTTTCAGTGACCCCATATCCTACAGCACCAAAATGCTACATCGGAGGGTGCTTCTCAGATATAAAAAAGGAGTGCCCTGGGGAGCTAGCGGTCCTGAATGAGCTCGGAACTTTTTCTTAAGAGTTTGATATTATCAAGCCACCAAAAAAGAAGCAAAAAACAATCATGTTACGCTACACTCAGTTTTCAAAAAATAGGAAAAAATTGGAAAAGACCTTTAAGTTAACATAAGTTTTGAAACTTACCAGTGAATTCAATGCAGAGAAGAAGAAGAATCTGGACAGCAAGTTGAGTGACAATGTTGAACCACTTAGATTACTCTAAAATCCATCAAATGGCCAACATTTGATTCAAAATAAAGCTAATTTATTAGTTTTAGATATCAATAGAAACACAAATGAAGCAATTCTTTTGTTTAAAGAACCTTCTCAAGAGATCCAAAAAACACCATCTAGATTTATTGTTGCATTTGCAATCAACCTAAGAACCAATTATCCCAAGTTTCAGACAGACATTTCATCAAACATTTGATAGCCATGCCTATGAGATTTCACATATTCACTTGAAGGCAGTGTCATACTAAAACCATGTTTTGAGTTAATGAAGCAAATATAACATAAGCAATCATTGTAAGGGATCATAACATACCTGAGATAAGTGATAAGAAAGCATCAAAACAGGGAGTAATAATACTTGAAGTAGAACTGAATTTGTACGAGAATTTCGGAAGAACAAACTAAGCTACCGTTGGACTAATAAATGAAAAAAACAATGAACTTTGACAATTAAAAGTAAAGCTCCAATTTGTTTGTCAATGGCAGGCGAAGAAGAAGAGCACAACCATGGCTGCAAACTCAGTTGCAGTTCTGGAATAATATATACTCCAAAATGCCATCTGAGTTGCCTCGCCAAGATACAGCTTAAATCCAGTTAGTATCAAGCCTGAAATACAACTCACGGCAACAATATTGTATCATCACAGCCGAAAATGAGAACAAAATAAATTCACCTATTTCTGATCTTCATCTGTTGTGAAAATCCAACAAAAAAATCAACACTATATTCGAACAAAATTTAGATCCATTAAACCCTGGTAAGGAAATAAAAAGAAGAAAAAACAAATGTTCAAACCAAAAAGGAAATAACAAAAAATTGTACTTCCATATGAAATAGCACATACCGAATCAAGAGGGAAAAAAGCCAAAACCAGAGTGAACGAAGGTTAGAATGAGAGTGTGATTAGAGAAAGAGACGTGCAAATACAGATAAAAGGTACAGGCTAAGTGAATAGGATCCTACTTCTCAGCAGAACTGGAATAAGGGAAAAATCACATCCAAGCAGATATTTGTAATCGTAATCATACGGATGATGAAGGTTGAATAGAAAGCATAATTTGGGTGGAAAATTGAATACCAAAGCTGATCAGAATAGAATGGCATACCTAAAAAAAAATTCCCCATTTCACTCCTTTGAAGTACAACTATCACGTGAGGCTCCAACAATTCGGCAACATGAGACGAAATCGATACAGAAACGGGTTAATTGGATATCAGAGAAAGAGGGAAAAACGGCTAGTGTAAGCAAAGTAGTTCACCTGCACCCAATTCTCCTGCTCTGAAGTACAAAGGCCATGTGAATGATCAGCAAATCAAGCGGCTGCAGGAGTAGCAGCTGACCTGTTGGCTTAAAGAAGGAAGTCACAAAGAGATGAGATGGTGGGTTTGGTAGCATAGCCGGTTGGGATGGGACTTGCTCAGAATAGGTGTGCTGAATTTTGCTCAGAATAGGCGCGTGGTAGAGAGAGCAGGAAAAGGCTTCAATGCAATTTGAGGGGAAGACGGTGGAATGGCAAAAGAAGGAAAATAAATAGAAGACTTCGGTCGGTCAAGAGAAGCTTTGTAAGAAACACTTTACTTGCCATTTGTCAGATAATTAAGGAACCACGTGGCAAGAGGAAAGGAAAGCATTAAATCTGGCTGTTTTCTTATATACAAGACTAGGGGGTTATCGGCTGTGCTAAGCACAGCCTAGGCCCCCTATAATCTGTTAGCAAATAATAACCAATCAAGTATGTAGCTAAGAATATGAGACTAAACAAAACATCACCAATCATTAGTATTGCAACAGATAAAAGAAGATGACAAAAGGTTGACAAGTAGTTTCATAAATAGCTTAACATCTTCAAATATAAAGTGCAATCATAGGCTGCAATTACAAAAGATCACATATTGAGATCCATTAAGGTGCACAAAAGAACAATTTCTTAATGGATGTCAATATTAATGCAGCTGTAAAGTGTTTTAACATTAGCAAAATGAAGAATTCAAAAGGCTTCAAGGAAGTTCAGAGTTCATCGTCACGCTGCTTCTTCAATGGACTTCCAGGTGCATTGATGGACAGCAAGGTAGGTGTATTAGCTTCAGCAGAATCCAAACCAATTCCAGGAGGCACAGTTCCAAAAACCAAGGCCCTCTTTGCTGTTGTCACTGCAGGCGGCAGTTCATTTGCAGCAGTAGATGATTCAGCAATGGCATCAAGGATCTTTTTGGTTGATGGACTGAAAAATTCAGTCTTCTTGGTAGGCTGCAGGACAGTAGCTTGCTGGTCTGGAATTATTTCATTGGCTTCTGCAGTTGTGATGGCCATTGGAATGTGAGTTGATTCCTCAGCAGTGTATGCCTTGACAATATTATACTTGCCTTCCTTTTGGCCTTGATAATCTGACTCATAGTAGCGAATGAAACACACAATTGCATGCTTTCCAAGTGCAGATGCTAGTTCAGCAGAAAAGTTAAGCTCCTGAATTTTTTTTGTTTTAAAGTATAAATAATTAGCAATGATATTTAAATTCTGAGTAACTTCATGCTGTATAAATAGAACTGGATCCAGGCATAAGTTATGGAAGGAAACAAAACATATTATACCCAAGAGATTATGTTACTATCATAACACTTTTACGTGGAAAGAGCAGCATTGATACCAAAGAAAAGAAGCGTAAGAATCAGATTATTCGATAGTTATTACCATTAGAGCTCAATGAACTAAATAAGACTCTTTTTTTTTTTTTTTGTATTCGGGTAAAGGCCTAAGAAGGCTGAATTTTTTTGAGTTCATTTGGCGCATTAATATAGACCAGGAAAAACAACAAAGGAGAGATGTTCCAGGTGTTGTATGAACAGAAAGTCACTTGGTGAGAAGAAGGCAGAACTATTTGACTGATTATCTGGATGAAAACGAAATCTACCAAAGTGTGGTTTATTTTTAGCAGGGGTGGATGATCAGACAGCTGAGAAGCTATAAAATACTTGGGAGCTGGGACTGCCATTGATCTCCACTAAGTTCAAATTCGAGTGCAGTTGTTATAATCAGTTTTGAGTGGCATATATGTTAATTGGGCAAGCGTGTTCATACTCCTTAGTAGTTTTTTTTTTTTTCCTATGGTCTGGAGAGATTTAGGATAATTTTATAGCTAGATAAAAATGGTCAGATATTTAGGGGTGAGATGGATCCGCTCTGTCATGGTAAACAAATGTAGCTTCTGGGACCTTAGAATCTCTACCTAGTGCTTCTGGATATGGAGGAATATTCTTTAGCTCAGACATTTGTACAACTCCTGATTAGTTTCGATATTGGTGACGGGAAGAGCATCTCATTCTGGTTTGATAACTGGTTTCCTTGGTAAAGGCTATCTAGAAAATTAAGGCTATCTAAGCTATCCAGAGTGGTTGATTTGATACAAGAATTGGACTACTGGGAGAAGGTTTTGAGCTCAGGTGTGAGAGTGCAAACAGTGTTCCAACTCTAACTGCATTCTCATGTATAGGCAGGACTTTGTAAGGTGGAATGTGTTAAATTAGCCTCACACAACAGTAAGTATTTGACAGTTTGTGGCTTCAGTAACTAATAGAAAAGGCTACAAGCATGAAAGTTCAAATTAGCAGGCAAACCAACTGGCTGAGCATCACAGACAAAAAACAACCAAAAAAATGGAAAACAAAGATGAAAGTGGCAATTCCATATAGGAAATTATAATTGACAGCAGAAATATAGGCACATGAAGTTCATTGCAGCAGAAATATAGGCAGAAGATTGTTAGCTCACCTCAGTATGAGCTTCCCAGAATTGAAGTGCTGTAAATGGGATAAACTTTTCAGCATCAAGGCCAAAGATAACGGTATTTATGGAGCCCGTACCATCATCAACAGCAATCCCAACTCGGGTCCTATTACATATTGGAAATAAAATATTATATTCTAATTCATTACAAGAGAGGGAAAGTTAATTCGGTAATTACCTTGCTATAACTTTGCTCTCTTCTTTGCAAGATGAGCATCTCATAACCCATCCTACGTCAACATTGATAGACTTTTGGCAGTTCTCACATGCTTCAAACCAGAATTTTTGTTGTCCAGGGGACAAGCTGATTTTGCCGGTTATCCAAGCTGTTTTCACCTAATAGATGTTTTTGTGAACAGAAAGAAGAACATATGAGTTTTGCATTATTTTGGATGGGTAGAAGATATAAATCAGGTCATAAACGAAAAAAGAAGATACATCTTTGAGTGTGTTGAGTGCATTGGCTACACTGATGATGTCTTTAGAACTTGGAGGTGGCAGCAGCTTAGATGAATCTTTGTATGCCATTTGTTGTATCAATTCTGCAATTTCTTCTTTATTTGCATTATACCTATCCAAGAAATGAATGCAACGGACAATAATTTATCAAAAGGATCTAGAAAAGTTTAAGTAAAATGATCAAAGAACATGCGTACCAATCTTTGAGTGCATTTGCTTCAGAAGTGGGAGGATTAATCAGAAGGCCACTCCCAGGCTTGGTTGTCAGGGATAAGTCTAAGAGTAAAAGCAATAATTTTCATCAAGTAATAGAGCAATTTAAAAGACAGTGATAGGCTGAGTTATTGTAACTGGATGACTATCATTGAAGTATAAGCTGTTAAAAGTATATTAACTTCGCTTACAATTAAAAGTTGTGATTTTCAGCTTCATGCCAATGATAACGTTGGCATTCCCAATACTATTTGCAAGCTGTGTTCCCTGATTTTGTTCGAACTCATTCCAAAGAGTAAGAAGCATTGGCTTTTTCCTTTACAAAGAAGAGGAAAAACAGGGGAAAATGTGAATGGAACAATTTTATGCATTGAATAGGAATATGAAAAGTAAGGTCTATATAACTAACTCTTCATTCACAACAATGAAGTCTCTTGTTGTACACCCGTTATTCTGTTCCTTTGTCGCAAATGCAGTGACAACAACAGCTTGTAAATCTTAGTACAAACCAAAAGAGAAGAGGTTAGATGTGTTTGAATAGCTAAAGAAAATATGAAAATGAATTTATATTTCAATTAGTAAAGCATAGATATAACTTACTCTGAACATTCTCTGTGTCTGTGAACCTAAAAAGGTCTTCAAATTTGGTGAATTCAAAAGTGCATGGTAGCAGTGGTGGATTTGGTTCGACATACTCTTCAACTAATGTCTTGTTATGAAGCACCCATGAGAACTGATAGTCACTAACTTTATACTTTGCATCCTGTTTTTTGACAGTCCCACCAGTAATATAGTATCGCTTGAATGGTTGAAGCAGATTAGAAAAATAGCGAATGTCATTTCCATAAATGACAGCTGAAACCAGAGTCCCCTGTTCGTAGAAAGAACCAAGATGAGCAATATTAACCAAAAGGCTGAAGTAGAACACTTAAGGTAAGAAACATACAACAGCAAGTATCCAGGGGTTTTTTTTTTTTAAGGAGGAAGAGGGGGAAGAAAACATATAACAGCAATGTTTGAGTTGGAAGAAGCAAACCACTAAGAATAACCAGAGACATTTATGAAGCAAAATGGTAGAAAAATGAGAACAGAATTTGACAAGAGACTGCTATCAATTAATGTTATCAACAGACTGCCATGCTTTGCCTCAATTCTCTATAAAGGGAAAGAAAGTATTTCAGATACAGGGATATGTAACAGGAGAAAACGTGGGACTCTTCGAAAGAATCGAAGCAGAAAAAATCTAAACGCTTTCTGTATAGATACTTTAGCAGCTATTGGTCACGTTAGTAGCAGGATTTTTTTGAGATTCTTTTCCTTCTTGAAAATTTCAAGAAGTTCTCTGTACTTCGTAAGTCCAGAGGAGTAAAATTGGGAACAGGTAAACTTCTGTATTTTGTTTTAGTCATTGAACGCACATTGAGGCACTCAAATGCATCCAAGCTGTAACATTTTCAAATCACTATATATGATCTCCCATAGAGAAAGTTATACTGATTAGGCATATATCATTGGTTAATAACAAGTCTTGGAATATTATAGGGTAGAATCATGTAAGTTAAATCAGAATTTTACTATAGTCAATTGGCCTGAAATGAAATTGCACAGAGGATGATTAATGATCTGGACATGTTGATGATTTAGGAAATGTTAAATTGCCAAGATTAGTTTGAGCTTATATTACCTCAGAATCTGTTAACACGAGACGCTGAAATCTGATAGGCGGCGATCTGTTACTGGTTAACACGTGCGATTTCTCCACAACTTGCACAAGCACTGTCCACCTTCTCATCTTGTCGTTGACTTCATGCACTGATAGACATCTCCTTGCCATTGTTATCTATAATAATGAGAGAGACACATAATCAGTTTGTAAGTTAAAAGAGAAATTCTGGAACATTCAGGAAAATTGAAACTGAATCCTAAAACAACATATTTACTTGGCAGCTATGCGAGAAGTTTCAAGAACTTCTCTAAATACAATATTTTTTGTCTGGTCTGTTCTAGGCTTGTCAAAAAAGGGAGGTTTAATGAGCACTTTGACTTGAGAAGCAGTTCTTGCTCGTGATAATGCAACATAGAGCTGGCCATGGGAAAACACCGGTTCCTTCAAATAGATACCAACATAATCAAGTGTTTGTCCTTGAGCTTTGTTTATTGTCATGGCAAAGCACAAGCGAATTGGAAATTGAGTCCTTGTATATGGAATAGGATATTGTTCATCAGTTGGAGGTTGTAAGGGAATTCTATGGATGAAGACATCTTTTCCAGCAAAATCTCCTACAGCTATTTGAGCATGAATGACATATTTGCTCAAACTTTTACAAATTAATCTTGTTCCATTGCAAAGACCCTCAGTAGGGTCCAGGTTCCTAAGTAATATCACAGGAACACCAGGTTTCAAGATTAGCTTATAGGGTGGAAGGCCACTGGGAGATAAGGAGTTTAAAAAATCTTCATATTAAACTTGGTTATTTGGATTCAAAGCTCGGTCGAAACTCAGATATTCTACTGCTGTACCTGGAAATTTATCAATTAAGATATCATTCACTTCATCCACAAAATGATTCTTTGTAGTGAGGATTGCTCGATTTAATGGCAAGGCAGGATTTTCTGATCTATAATGGATGTGGGGATAAACCACATCTATCAGGTCATGAAGTGATGCATTTTGTGAACCGTTGCTAACCAAAATAGAAGAAGGCAGGTGTATGAGACTGTCATCTTCAGTTTGGTCAGTGCCATCACCAACCCTTAATAAGTAATCAGTGAATGAGGGATCAAATCGAGCCCTCATGTTTTGTGTGAGCTCTAATTTTTCAAGAGCTGGCCAGATAGGGGAATTAATCAAAGAAACAGCAATGGTTTCAGGTTGGCTTCCCTTACGAACTACTGGTAAGGTTTGCCTGAAATCACCCCCAAGAACAATTACTTTCCCACCAAAAATCTTATCTGAATTCATAAGATCTCTAAGAAAATCATTTAAAGCTTCAATCGCAGATCTCTTGCACATTGGAGCCTCATCCCAAATAATTAATTTGCATTCCTTAATCATACTTGCCAAACTGCTTTGCTTACTAATTTTGCATGCTCTACCCTGTGAGGTATCAATTGGTATTTTAAACCGAGAATGAGCAGTTCTACCTCCAGGTAGTATTGATGCAGCGATACCTGATGTGGCTGTCGCTAATGCTATATATCACTTTGATTTAATATCAGCTAACAACGCTCTATAAAGAAAAGATTTTCCAGTTCCACCAGGGCCATCAACAAAAAATGCACCACTCTTATTTTCATAAACTCTTTTAGATATAACTTCAAATGCATGCGTTTGGTTCAGATTAAGCAAAGAAATTGCATTTAAGTCCTCTTCAAGAACTTTTATGTTTTTTTCAGCCAATACATCTCTTGTTTGGTTGTCTACATCTGAGAATGAGAAATTATTAGGAAGTAAGCCAAACGAAGCTATATTTTTTCCCATTGACTGTAGAAAACCATTTATTTGCTCTAAAACTTTTCGTTTGATTTCTGTAGGAGACAAAGAAGTATTTCTCATGAAATCTTCGGACATGACAGCCTCAAATTTTGTCCATAGCTGTTTGGGGTCATTAGGACAGGAATAAACTAATAGCGTAGCAAAAAGGCGTCTCATTTCATAAGGCATATGAAAAAGAGACGCTTCTTGTAGGCAAATTTCCTGGCTATTATCATTCTCAAGAAGGCCACGTAAGAGAGCTGCTTCACGAAAGGTGGTAACTTGCACTCCATTGTGAGTCATTAAGTCTTCAAAAGACTTTGGAGCACGAACTTTAGACAAAAGAAGTCTAAGGTAATATCTTTCTCCCTCAGATGGATGAGCTGTATTTATTCGGCCTATAGAATCTCCCCTGTCTCTAATTTTCCAGCGTTTTTCTTTAGCTAACCAGACAAAATGGTCTGGAAATTGAGCGTATGTGCAATTTAGTTCTTGTGCAACTGAATCTGTTCTATTCATATAGAAAAATTCAGTCAACATTGTCTTCCTATTTCTTGGATTTTTGACTATGTTATTTAAATTCTCATGCTTCTTGAAGTGAATTGGCTGAAAATTTGGAAGATGCAATTGAAGGTGAATGATAGCTGGTTTAATTACTCCCATGGAAAAGCGAAATAGTCTCCAAACAGCTTCAGGCGGGGAAACCCACCGAGCTGCCTGGTATTGCTGAATTTCATCAATCTGATTGTTTGGATTATCAGAATTGATATGGAAACTGATTCGATCATGGCCTTTGCAGATATACTTGTAAATATATTTGACAGCCTGAATTGTTGAGCAGATCTCAACATTAATGTGGCAATTGAACTTAGCAAGTAAATATGCATTATGAGGAACAACCCATGTATTATCAAGTTTTTGTTTTCTGACTTTAATCTTAACACCATTGTTTCTTCTTCGGTATTGTGGATAGGAATCTAGTGTCTGAATTGTATGCTCAGAGTACTCTTTTGGATAAGAATTTTTACAGCAGCCATGCTTAGTCATGCAAACATTTGATGGGTTCAACACACCACAAGGACCGTGCATCATGTGTTTTTTAACCATTCTGTACAGGTGCGGATATTTTGTTTTATCTGGAATTTCTGCACTCACAATTTTATCATATTCATCAAGGATGAACATTTTGTGCTGAGGCTTTAAGATTAAAAGAAAATGAACATGTGGCAGGCCTCTTTTTTGAAATTCTATCACATATGTATAGGCTGCCACTTCTCCAAAAATATTTTTCTTCAAAAGTTCATTCTTTAATTCTTCTAGTTTAGCACGAAAGACCCTTACAACCAAATCTGGTCGATTTTGGGCTTCCTCTGTTGGCAATAAATGTTCTTTTATTTCCGGCCAATTGGGATTGCAAGTCATGGTCAAGAATATATCCGGCTTACCAAATTTTTGGACCAAAGTCATTGCATCTATGTATTTTCTTCTCATATTTCTTGGTCCTCCAATAAAGCTAGCTGGTAAAAATACTCTTTGACCGACATTTGCTGCCCGGACTTCACCAGTACCTATTGAGTCTACTATACCTTGTAAGAATTCTTTTCTAAATTCTTCTTGCTGGGTTCTCAAATAATCTAATCTTTGTGATTCAAGTTTAACATACATATCAACAACATATTGCTGAAATAGCCTACCAAAGTGCAGTAAGAAAGATTCATCATCATTTCTCATTTGCAATTTATAGGCATAGTATTCACGGATGGAAACGAAATCAGGATCGCCGTCTATTCCTGCCATTACTGGTTGAAGGAATTTAGAAAAAAGGTTAATGAGGCTGGTATGCTAAAATTAATAGAATACAGGTGGAAAAGATTTATTCTACTTACAGTCTTGTTCCATTTGTATTAACTCTTCAGCAGTAGAAGCATTCATTGGAGAAATAGAAATTTGAGCATCCCTTTTCCTAGTCTTTTTTTTGTGCACCTTTTTCCCGTGTTTTTTAATCCCTTGATGCCAACCAGCTTCACCAAAAGGAAGCAAAAGAGGGTACTGGAGAGGGTCATAACAGCCATAGTAATATTGGATATTGTGTGAATGGCCACCATGGGTGTACACTCGAATATCTCGACGGCTTGTTTCTCCATTTTCTTCTCCTTCTACCCATAAAGCAGCAACTTGGGACACTGTAGGCTTATTGAATACTCTTTGGTCTAAACCAGGGTGTGTTCGTAAAACAATGCGATAAGTATCAAGGTTATGAACTTCTCTCAAGCCGCGAAAGAATCTAGCATAGGGATTTTGCTGCATGAGATTCATGGTTTTTTGGAGAATACTCTCAGTTAATCTTGGGTAGGCATCTAATCGATTTGCTAATTCATTTTCACTGTCATGAAAATAGAATTGCAAATTTTTTGAGGTCTCTAAATCATTGATGAAATGATAGACCTGACCTTGCACTTTAAAAGTATAAATGCCCTTATTTCTCTTAGCCAAATCTTTATCACATTTTACTCCAAAGGAAGTGAAAGCAAATGTGTTATTAATTGTTCTAATACAGGTTCTAAACAGTTGAGCTTCCTCAGATGTTGACATCAGAAGTTCTTTTAGAACAGTTGGGATTGAATTGCTAGCTAAAATAACATCCCCATTAGAACAACAAAAATTTGCTGTTTCATGAGCAAATTTTTTTGCACTACAATGGGGACAGTTGCGTTGGCGAGGAAGCAGATCAGCAGCAGTAGGAATGTGGTTTAAGACCTCCCGACCTATTTTTGGCGTTCTTGCTATAATCGACAAGGAAAAGATATCTAGTTATTCATTTTGTGTAATGCAGGGAAGTAGAAATTAGCAAACTGAAGCTAGTAAGACATTGAAAAGTTCACAAAACCTGCACGCTTTCTCTTAGGCTTTACTTGGTTTGATTGGAGTATGGCTCTATCTATTCCTTCAGTGTTTGCTACTGAAACTGGATAGAATATGGTATAAGTTAAACAAAAGCGCTAAGGGGTGTAGTGGGTTAAAAGTCTATGTTTATGGGAAAGGTTTATCTAAGGTTAAAGTTTTTTCATGGTAGACTAAAGGGTTGGAAAACACTGTTTGTAAAAGTATGATGATTCCAGTAGCTAAGTGAATTGTTCTAAATGTGAAAAGGTCATGAAAATTGTATAAAATTAATTTTATAGTTTAGAGAATGATAAGTTAGAGTAATTGATTTAATTTTAAGATTGAAGGCATAGGAAGCTGGAATTTATAAAAAAGGCTTTAAAAGACAAAACGAGTTTAAAATAAAATCACATAATATTTTTAATGTTACAGACCTATTTTGGTTGACAGTGAATAGAAGGCATATACTTTTTACAAAAGCTTAAAATGGCTAACTTGGAAAATATGCAGAAATTAGTGAAAATAATGATATGAAAAGAATACTGGTATGAAACTGTATGAGCTTAACTGTTCGATGACCTGTTAAAATACGGGCATGAAAAAAGTACTGGTATGAAACTGTTCGGTGAGCTTAACTGTATGAAAGTTCAGTTAAAATAGGGATTCAGGCAAGCACCTGTGGATTCATATTGAATTGATTTTGATTGCACAGTATCCACTGCAATATATCAAGTTCTAATGTAGGATGATCCTCTTTGTTATAGGCTATACTGGAAGGCTCAAGTGGTGCAAATATAAATGGCATATTCATGGATGCTTCTGTGTCATTTGAATTGGTTGGCAGGATAGAATGGACATTCGGGCGGCTAAGAAGAAACGGCTGATTTGATTCCAACGATATGGAGTGAAGCAAGCCATCTTTCTGGGTTTTTTTGCTTCTATATCCCATATTTTTTTCGCTTCCATTATTTCTTATAGCAAGAAATTGATTGTGTAGAAATGGAAGTGATCTACTCATAGATAGTTGGCTGTCATTGGGACCTATAGGAAGCAAGTGAGGAACATTAATTACATTTGAGGGTCCCGAGGCACGAAGCCGCGACAGCCTATCTAATCGTTTTTGCCTCCATCTTTGAATAGCTTGTTTTCTATAACTAACTTTATCCATATTTTTGAGTCACCTCAAATGGAGGAATACCGGTAGCATTCTCAGAAGGCTCGTTTGTGACAAAATATATAAGAAAAGAAGGATGCTAGTCCATCAAGGCAGACAGGATAAAATAGCTAATGGAACTTCTCTAATGTAATGGCTGATTATCAGATATCTCGATGACAATTTAGTCAATCATATAATTGTTCTATATTATATGATTGTTTATATACTCTTGTGCAAACAATATCAGACAATCAAATAAACAGAAAGCAACCACAGAATAAATGTAAAACCAACTGGACATACGACTAAGCAGAGGTGAAAGGCACTGAGTATATAGAGGCATCAAAGTCTAATAGCAAAAGTATAAAAAAACATGAGCTAAGGAGACAATACAGCTAAGAACAGGTTTTTTTGTGTAAAAGTCAGGCTGAAGCATTAGGCATACCTGGTAACAGCAACGATAAATCAGATAGGGAAATGCAAAAAGCTTTGCGCCTAGGATGAGGTGTAGACTATCCAAGCAACAAAACACAGGGAAAAAGAAATATCAGGGAAAGAGCATAGACAAAAGGGGGGGAAAGAAAAACAGTAAATGATAATGCTTGCATTAGTTTGCTATATGAGCTGTTGACCTATAAAGTTGTAATCAATTTAGATACATTAAGATGTTCCAAGTATGGGTTATAAGTTCATGATGCCTGGGAATTGGGATTAGCATCCATTACTGTAATCTATTTAAATTGCTGATAAAATGATAATTGTCCATGGCCTATATTAAGTGGTAATTCTGGAGAGGAGAAAAAAGATAAGTTACTAAAGGAATATGGAAAATAAGAACAGAAAACAAATACAGAGCTGCTTCAAAGTTAAATAAGGTATCAATTAATGAAGTTCAGTTATAAAGATAAGAAAATGTACTCTACTCTCCAAGGCACAGAATCAAGTTTGAAAAGGACATTAAAGTATGTTCATTATACCAAAGGACATCAAAATCAGAAATGAGTATTGCAGCTTTATGACCTTAAGAAATCCATTTAGTCCACAAAAACAAGACCGACTCTCATAAATGGCACTTTCACCTTTGTCAAATACATGAATGATTAAAAGCAGCCAACTCCTCAATCCAAGAACTACATCCTACTGGAATTTGTTGCCTTCCTGATTCAGCTCGAATGGTAGTCAAATTAATGCTATTAGGGGACCCAATGATACACCTAGATAAGATTAGCATATAAATTTACACATACTTCTGCAATTTCAAGCCAAAAAATAGTCTGTATATACTTGGGATAAAACAGGCATAATAACCTAAGGTGTTCAACTGATAGCCATATAAATGAGTGAATGAGCTTTGAGTAAAAAGACTACAATGAATAACAGACGAAGAATGGGCTACATACAATATCCTTAAAAAATAACCATTGAGCTTTTCATTGAACCAGACAAGTGTAGCTTAAACGAAACAGCAAGCAAGGAACACACTAAGTAAGCAATTAGAAACAAGAAGTACAAAGTCTTAAGCTGCTTAACCAATAGGCATTTAGATCAGTAATAAAAAAAGGCTGGTCAGCTTAATGTTATCTTAAAAATAGATAAGCACTCCCATTCCTGATTTAGAACAACAACAGGTCACATATATCAGACATGTATATTGTAAGAAAAACTAACTTAGAGTCTGTATAGCTTCATTGTGATTAAAGACCAAAGCATCAGTACCAGGAGGTTCGAAATGACTTTGGTGGATAAAATCTGTTATTGATGTCCATCACTACAATCTTTTTTCTAGTGTGTATATAGCAATTTGACTATTTGATAGAACACCCATTATATGCAAACCAATAGGACAGCTCAGTTACTTAGAATAACATCAGCAAATGGGTGAACAGCTTTTAATTCTGAGCAAAAAATTGTTATTTAGTCTATCCTAGGCATGAGATACCAACCAAAAAAAAAATCTAAGCTTGAGATAATCAAGCTGTCATAGACATATTGAATGCCTATTGTCTAATATGACTTGACATTTTCGAGAGCTTTTGCTTACTTTAGCTACCTGAAGATCATACATTAGAGTCAAGCTGAAATCTTAGCTAAAATTTTAGTAACAGGCATTCAATATGTCTATGACAGCTTCATTTGGTAAAATTTTAATGGCACTAATTTCTGCATAATTTCCAAGTTAACCATTTTAAGCTTTTGTAAAAGTATATGCCTTCTATTCACTGTCAACCAAAATAGGTCTGTAACATTAAAAAGATTATGCGATTTTATTTTAAACTCGTTTTGTCTTTTAAAGCCTTTCTTATAAATTCCAGCTTCCTATGGCTTCAATCTTAAAATTAAATAAATTACTCTAACTTATCATCCTTTAAACTATATGCCATTCACAGTTTAAGGCCAGAATATGATAAAGATAGCATAGAATCAACTATTCCACACACCCTATAATGCATCCTTTACAACCCAATATTCATTGTTTAAACTGGTACTCAGCAATAATTTTGTTAGGCCATGTCTATAAGAAAGTTTTTTAATCAAATATTTCAAATTAACAAAATCACCTGCTCAAATAAGCAATCGTTTGTTTCATAAAGGATAAGACAAAACAAATAGCACCAATAAACTTAAAATAAATGAAGCAGAAACTGAAGAAAAACTACAAAAAAAGAAAAGGGAAAGGTGAAATTTCACTTATGAAAATATAGGCACTCAAAAAAAGAAAAGCTGTGGATAGATTGAAGGAAGACAGCAAACTGACCTTCAAGTTAAAAGGTTGGTCGAAGGAACCGCAGCAAAAGGAACCTATCAATTGAAACATATATCTGTATATTAGAATTTATTAATCTGAGAACCATTCATAAGAGGAAAATTTGGGGGGAAAAAGGGGGAGTTTTTTTCTCACCAGAGAGGCTCCAAAGAACAAGGTGTAAAGGCTCGGAGGATTTTGATTGCAGCTCACAAAGCAGAGGAGGCAGCACGATGCACTGTTAAATACGTGCATCCCATTTCGTCAGCCGCTGGAAAAGGCACAGGCTAAGTGGATAGGAACGCTACTTCGCAGCATAACTGGAATAAGGGAAAAATCACATCCAAGCAGATAATTGTAATCGTAATCATACGGATGATGAAGGTTGAATAGAAAGCATAATTTAGGCGGAAAATTGAACACCAAAGCTGATCAAAATAGAATGGCATACCTAACAAAAAGTTCCCCATTTCACTCCTCGGAAGTACAACTATCACGTGGGGCTCCAAGAATTCGGCAACATGAGACGGAATTGATACAGAAATGGGTTAATTGGATATCAGAGAAAGAGGGAAAAACAGCTAGTGTAAGCAAAGCAGTTGACCTGCACCCAATTCTTTTGCTCTGAAGTACAAAGACCATGTGAACGGTCAGCAAATGAAGCGGCTGCAGGAGTAGCAGCTGACCTGCTGGCTTAAAGAAGGAAGCCACAAAACCCATCGCTCAAATCATGGAAAATCCAAACTTTTTGCGGCTGGAATTGGGGATTGCTCAGGACAGATGCGCCGAATTTGTGCTAAGAATAGCCGTGCGGCAGAGGAAAGGGAGGAAATGGGTTCAACGGCAATTTGGGAAAGAGATGCTGGGTTTGGTAGCATAGCTGGTTGGGACTGGAGTTGCTCAGAATAGGTAGGCTGAATTTTGCACAGAATAGGCTTCGATGCAATTCGAGGGGTCTTCAATGCAATTTGAGGGGAATGCAATTTGACGGGAAAACGGGGCAATAGCAAAAGAAGGAAAACAAATAGAAGACTAAACAACTTGCCACTTGTCAGATACATAACAAACCACGTGGCAAGAGGAAAGCAAAGCATTAAATCTGGCTCTTTTCTTATATACTAGGTAGATAGATATGATTGGGCATTTTGAAATAACTTTCCGCCTTCACGGTTCACCTCGACAGCCAATTTTGTAGGCAATGTACTGATTATGGAATGTTGTGGAAGTCTTCATGCCGTACCTTACTTTTATTGGAAACTCATTGAACGACAGCATAAAATAAAGTCCACCACTGGGCCACCAAAAGATGTGCCCTTTTGAAGTGGAAAATTCAAATTACATCTACTTTAAAATAAATTTAAAGAAGTTGTTAAAACATATTTTTAATCTAGTCATATTTATTTGTCTGTTGATTCTTTATACAATTTCTATAGTTTTAATTTTATCGGATTTGTTTATCCATCGATCCCTTATACAATCCCTTTAGTCTTAATTTAGTTGGATCTATTTATCTGTTAATCCCTTACACGTCTTCTTTAATATATCATTTCTTGTAGAATAGCATAAATCACATATTATCGTTAGATAAAAAACATAAAATAATTGTGTACCATAAACATAAACTAAGGGCGGCTTTTGCCCTCACAAGGCAGTGTCGTAACGAAACCGTCAGTCATACCAACGGCGTTAGTCTTCTGAGGATGTTCTATGAAACTTCCTCGAATTGGGTTATCTTTCAGAATTTTAAGAGTATATTTATGCACTTGCTCGTGACGATGATAGTTTAAACCGATCGATTTTGTTAGAAAGTCGACTTTATGATAATAACTCCGTTTAGAACTGAAATTCTCTGAAGTTAGAAAATAATTGCTTGCCGTCCAAATGAAATGAAACCAGTGGAGTCAAAGACTAGTCTGAATTCTGACGGAGAAAACATGACTTCACCTGTAAGGCTTATGTGCTTTGCTTGATTTCCTTCCAAAGCTTACATCTTATTTATTGTTTTAACTGTCGCATAAATAGCTTTTTTTTTTGTTGCAATTTTTCTGAATTTTTTTGGGTAGTTTTTACTGTTCTTAAAATAATAAAAGATTCTTCTGGGATTCTTCACAGGAACTATTGTTTCAAAAAATTGCCTCTCATACAGCAGTGGTTTTTTTTTTTTGTAATTTAGGGGAAAAATTGAATAAAAAATTCCCAATAAACACATACATCTTGTATCTTTTGGAATGGTTGAAACTTGGAACTTATGTGTGTGACAAGAATCAAAAGAAAGTGTCCACTTAGGAGGTTGCTAGTTTGGGATTATGATGTAAACCAGCTTGATTGTTTCGTTGGTTTAGGGAATATGTGGGAAAAGTTGATTGTTACAGGTCTTGTTTTACGAGGGTAATGACTCGATTCTTGAACTCTGATCTAGGTTATAAAAGCTTAGATAATTATGGACCACCAGTTTCCTGATGTGAATGGCTCTGGAATTGACGAAGGGAATGTTTTTTCAAGATTGAAGCAGTCTAATTTTAATTTCCAATTCCAGGAATCGTTGGATCCCGTAAATGGCTTTGGATTCGATGGTGATACTGTTTATGCAAGTCTTCGTTCGGAGGATCCTAGTACTTATTCTCTTTTTTATAACATGAGCTCGGAATTTGACTTTCTTGATGAGTATGAGTTCTACCCTGTGCTCAAATACATTAACCAGATGCTCATGGAGGAGAATGTGGATGAGCAGCCAAGTATGTCCCATGATCCATTAGCTATCCAAGCTGCAGAAAAATCTTTCTACGAAATTCTTGGCGAGAACTACTCTCCTTCACCTCTTGAAACATCTGTTGCAGCCCTTGAAAGAAATGCACAAACCCCAGAGGGCTTTAGTGAAAGTTCCACTAAGGATTCTAGGAACAGCAGCAGAAGTAGCATTTCTGCTGCCCCCTCGCCAGTTCTTGATCCTAATGAGTGGCCTGCAAAACAGCATTGTCCTCTGGGTAACTCTTTGGAGTCATCTTTCCAGACAAATTCAATCGAGTCTCCTCCTCAGCTGAAGAATTTGACTATCTGTGGAGATGGGCAGGTCGGATCTCTAACTGATAAGAATCTTGTTTCCAGTTTCTACAGTGATAGTAGAACCATGTTGCAATTCAAGAAAGGGTTGGAGGAAGGCAACAAATTTCTTCCAACTGGGAATCAATTGGTTATTGATTTAGACAAGTACACATTCCCATCAGAAATGAAGAATGCGGAGCTTGTGCCCAAGGGAAATAAAGATAAGGAGGAGAAATTGAATAATGGATTGCGAGGAAGGAAGCATCAATACCTGGATGATAGTGATTCATACATTAGAAGAAGCAACAAGCAGTCTGCACTCTATGAGGAAGACGTTGAATTGTCAGAAACAATTGAAAGAGCACTGCTTTATGGTGATGTCAAACCGTCCCATGGATTCTCTGAGACCTTACACAATGATCAATTGCTTCACAGATCTCATGTTGGAAAGAGTCAAACTGAAAGGCAGGTTACTGATGGTGGACCTTTTGATCTCATTGCAATGTTAATTAGTTGTGCACAGTTTGTTGCCAGTGATGATCATAGCACTGCAAATGAACAACTTAAGCTGCTTAGGCAGCATGCTTCCAGTAGTGGCGACCCACATCAGAGGCTGGCCTTCATATTTGTCAATGCTCTTGAGGCACGGCTGGCAGGCAATGGACATGACCTGCATGCTGCCTTGACTTCCAAGCCAATTGCAACTTCTGAGGAGTTGAAAGCCTTAAGGGTTTTTTTTTGTGCTCCATTCAGGCAGATTTATGCTTTCTTTGCAAACAAAATGATTCTGGAAGCAGCATCAAATGCTACAACACTTCACATTGTTGATTTTGGAATCACATTTGGCTTCCAGTGGCCTAATCTCATCCAACGGCTATCTAACAAAGATGGTGGGCCTCCCAAGTTACGCATTACAGGAATAAACTTTCCCCAACCTGGACTTAGGCCAGCAGCAAAAATAGAGCAGACAGGTCACCGCTTGGCAAAATACTGCAAAAGGTTTAATGTGCCGTTTGAGTACCAAGCAATAGCAACAAGAAACTGGGAGAAAATCACAATTGAGGAGCTGAAACTTAAAAGGAATGAAGTGCTTGCAGTGGCCTTTCAGTTTGATTCAAAGAACATTTTGGATGAGTTAGTGGGGAATGAATGTCCGAGGGATGCAATTTTAAGCTTGATCAGGACTATGAATCCCGATATTCTTGTAACTGAAGTTCTTAGTGCACAACTTTCTGGTCCTTTCTTTCTCTCCCGTTTCCGAGAAGCCCTTTTCTTCTTTTCCACTATTTTTGATGTTCTTGATAACAATTTACCGAGAAAAGATGGGCAGAGGATGAAATTTGAACAAGAATTTCTAGGAACTGAAATTTTCAATATTGTTGCATGTGAGGGCTTGGCTAGGGTTGAGAGGTGTGAGACATACAAACAGTGGCAAGCTCGTTATAAGAGGGCTGGCTTCAGGCAACTTCCCTTAAATCAAGATCTTATGAAGGAACTAAGAAGCAAAGTTAAAGAAGGCTACCACAAAGATTTCATGTTTGATGAGGATGGTTGTTGGTTGCTTCAGGGATGGAAAGGGAAGGTCATATGCGCTTGCTCTCCCTGGGTGCCTGCATAGACCTCTCTCTCTCTACCCCCCATTAACTTGCAGGTGCATCTCTGGTGGATGTGTGAGAACATGAGACCAATAGTTCAAGCTCTGCAAGTTTTTTTTTTTTTTTGGTACTGGCCTGAAACTACATTGTGATCATGAAATTTGCTATGCACATATATCCTTTTGTTGGTGAAATTGTTAATATGTTGATGCAATTTTCCATAGAGCTGGCTTGTGCAGATTTTATGTTGGATGGTTAATATGGTTTATTTTTGTGACTTTTACGAGGCTACTGTGTTTTGTTCTTTCAAGTATCTGTCTCTGGAATTTATCGAGGTTACGGGGTCCAACAGTTGTTCTTGCTGTATATTGATTTTATACTTGATAGAGATTATGCAAGAGTCTGCAGAAGATGCTAAAAGAGATTTTTGAGTGGACCAAGACAAAAAAGTGGGCTGGCTTCAGGCAACTCAATGACAAACATAAACACAGGAGACTAAATAGGTATAGTTGTTGAATTCCCTTGTGCTTTAGTATTCTGTCATCGAAAATGTAGCATTTTGCTCCATTCACACTACAGAATCCAGAAATTTTTCTTGTATTATTAACTGAAGTACTATTTAACGCAACTGCTAATCAGATTCACTTGGGAATTGGGGAACATCACCTGTAGACGCGGATATAATGATCTGATTGCAAGTTCAGATTAACATTAATTGAGCGAGGTCCCGAATAGGTCAATGTTTACCATGGCAAATCAGAAAAGATGTCAAGGAAGAAATATCAAGCGAAAAATCCTTGTTCCTACATGAATTTTACCAGAAGTTCATGGCAACTTATCGTTGAACAGAATCTGGCAATTCTCGGAGCATTTCTTGAAGGATAATATCCTATTGCAAACTTATTGTTGGGGCTCTGAAGGTTTTGTAAGTCCACCAAGAGTCATTTTCTTTAAGCATTTCACATTCTGCAAAAGCTACTCTTATCACCTTGAATTCATATTCCTCATTGTTGATTTTTAGGATTAAAATCTGCTTGAGATGTTCAGTGGAGTGTAATGGGATAGCGTCAGGCATTAGATCCACAAATTCCTTATCGTCACAGAAGTCCTTCCTAAATACCTGCCCATCTGACCAAAATTAAGGGCAGAAACACATAAATGACTGAATCAGGATCTTATAAAGGAACTAAGAATCTTATAAAGGGATCTAGGTTTATTTGCGTAACTCTTACTTTCTGTAAGAAAATGTAAGAAAGGATCTTATAAAGGAACTAAGAAGCAAAGCTAAAGAAGGCTACCACAAGAGTTTCATGTTTGATGAAGATGGTTTTTGGATGCTTTGGAAAGGGAAGATTATCTGTGCTTCCTCTTGCTGGATACCTGCATAGAACTCTCTTGTTGCAGGTGCTTCAATGGTGGCTACAAAAATAGATCATGCTCTTGAAGTTTTTGGCGGTATTGGCCGGAAACTACATTGTGATCAAGAAATTTACGCTAAACGTGTAATTTTTTGTTGATGAACTTTCTAATTTGTCGATGTAAATTGCTACAGAGCTGAGTTGTGCAGATTTAGTGTTGGATGGGCATTATTGTTTACTTTATTCTTTCAAGCATCTGTCCTCTGGAACTTTTTGAAATTACAGGGTCTGAAGAGTCGTTCGTGCTGTATATTGGTGTTATACAGATTATACAAGATTTTGCAAAAGATGTAAAAATAGACACTTTGCATATGAAATAGATCCAAGAGAATTATGTGGCAGTAGCAGACATGAACATTTGAATGTAATTTTTTTTTTTGAAGCAAGACATTTGAATGTACAAAGACAAATAAGTTCCCAAATCACATCAAAAACTGGATATGAGAAATAATAAATAGCTTACTAAAGCACAAAGCTTTCAGCTTAACACAAATTGGGGGGGGGGGGGGTTTAATATGCTTGAAATCGTCTGTCCTCAATTTTGTCTCTGTACCGTCTCTGTTTAACTACCACGTGTATTGATTAATAACTCTTAACATTTCATTGTGGATGGATCACAAAGCTTCCAGTTCAACAGAAATTGTGGGTGTTTTAATACGCTTGAAATCGTCTGTTCTGAATTTTTTCTCTATATCGTCTCTGTTTAACTATCACGTGTATTGATTAATAACTCTTAGCATTCCATTATGGATGACCCTTCTCTGTTTAATTATCACGTGTATTGATTAATAATTCATGACTCATTTACAATGAAATGCTAAGAGTTATTAATCAATACAAGTAATAGTTAAACAAATCATCCACAATCGAATGCTAAGAGTTATTAATCAATACACGTGATAATTAAACAGAGACGATACAGAGATAAAATTCGAGACAGATGATTTTAAACGTATTATTCAAGGGTGGGGCAAGAGAAGGAATGACAATTGACAAGCTTTAGAATTATCCAAAATCAATTTATATTGGAAGCATCTTGAATTGGTTTCTTGGTATCACAAAGGCTCGAGAAATGCAAGGAGAAAAGTGGGAAATGATTTTATGGTCAAATGGTACCTAAAGTCCTCTTGAACTTGAATAATAAATGCTGCACCCTCACCCTCAAAAAAAAAAAAAAAAAAAAAGTGCTGCCGAAATCATTTCCTTTTGACCAATTGGATAGTAATAAAATCTAAAAAGTTCATCTCTTGTCCTCTAGCTGTTAAGCGCCTCACTGTACCATTGCCGATGTGGTATTCTTTTTTACTTTTTGCCGAGGTGGTATTCAAGTTGGCCAAAAGGAGATATTTTGAAGTTGGCTTCTTAGCGTCCCATACTTTTTAGCAGAAGAGAATTTCAATATGCAATTTTGGATATAGCTCTTTCAGAATCCTCTGGGTTTCATGGAATTGAAATTATATGCACACTTGATTTGGCTTAGGGAAGAATATCTAAGGCTTGAGCCCCATAAAACTGGAAAAAGAAAATAAAAAGACGAAAAATCAAGGAGGTATTCCTACCAATTAAAAAACAATTAAGGAAGTATTCTTGCTTTATATTTAAATCCGCCTTAATTGTTTTGGGCAGGAGCGGTTGTGGTTTTGTCCGACTTTTTTACGATTATTGTATTTGCTACATTATTAGAGCACAATCACATTGTAATGTTGAATTCGTGAATATGTTGGTGCATATAAATAAAATATTTTGAATTTATATGGTACAAGAATATAATTTGATTAATACCAACTATTATTCTAAGGTTAGCTATCGTGTGCTACCTTATAGTTTTGCCTATTATCACATGATATTTTTAACATTTCAAAATATCCACAATAGCTCCATGTAGTTTTATGTAAATTGGAAATTTGAGGAAAAGAAACCACCGTAGCATTATTAGTAGGAATGTTAATGTTGCTCTTATTTAAGTACTAAATATAACAGGATCTAACCACTTTGCATAAAACTATAAGGAGATTATGCGGATATATGTGAAAGAACAAGAGGATTAAATGGAAATTATAATCCTATTATATGCATTTTGGAGCACTAGGCCAATCACGATAACTAGACTTGCTTTCGCCCATTTCTCTACTTCACATAAAATCATAGGAGTTTATAAGGATATTTTAAAATGTTAGGAATGTCATGTCATAATGTACAAAATCAAAAGAAGTAAATTATAATTTAAAACTAATAAGTACAATAATTAGATCAAATTGGACGTAATATAGAAGTGAGATTGAATGGAAGGTAGTGGAGATAAGAAAAAAGAAATTGTGGGAAATTGATTAATGTCCTTTGTTTGGTAGTTTAAAATGGAAAGCAAAGAAAAGAAAAGAAAGAGAGAGAAATGAAAATGTTTGTTACTTTTTTTTTTTTTTTATGTGGGAGGTTTCGAATTCCGAATCTCTCACTTGCACTCCCTACCCCTGTACCATTCAAACCATTCTGTCCAGTAGAAGTGGTGAGAGATGGAAGGAGAGTGAATTGTATCACAAAAGTTTATAAGTATCTGCACATCAAACAAACTTGAAAATTTTAAGTTTGAAGTCAAATATATAAAATACACGTATTATTAAGCTTTTCTTTTTCATTTAAGGAGAGAAGTTTATAAGTACTTACACATCAAACAAACTCCAAAATTTTAAGTTTGAAGTCAAATGTATAAAATACATGTATTATTAAGTTTTTCTTTTTGATTTAAGAAAAGACTTCAAACCTTACAAAAAAGAGAAATAGAAAGGCTTGAAGTCGAATTACACTATCACCTGGAGAATGTCTCTCCCACTATTCTCCAACATTTTCGAAGAGTATTAGGTTACACAAAAAAAGAATGGTCAAATACCAAAGACCCCCTATAATTTAGGTATTGTTTAACTTAGCTTCATATAGTTTAGAAACATGTGATTTAATTTGGTTTGTAAATTTTGAACTATCAACAAAAATCATTTAAGCTAACGTTGGCAAGCAAAAGTCACAATTTCCCCCGTATAGATACATTGAGTAAATACCAAAATATCTTCTATATTCTATCAAATATTTGATACCCCACAAGTTAGCCTCTCATAATTCATAAGTTTTTGAAATCGTGACAAAAATCATCCAGTGTCTAACTAGGCTCCCAAGAAACACGTGCCTTGTGCGGTTTTTCCTTTTTTTTTTTTTTTTCTTTTGTGTAAAAAGGTTTTTAATAAAAAAAGTATAATTTTGCCTATTATACCCCTTGATCTACACCGACACACCTAAATTGTAGTACATCATGGGTCCAAAACTTGAAGAAGACAAAGCAGTAGTTTTGGATAGAAATCAGTGTGTTTGAATTGGAAAAAGACGCAAAAAATTTAAATCCTGAAATTGAATGTATTACTTAGTTTATACAATCTAAATTATCTACTTTGTTATAGTGAAAGGAAAAATTACAAAACCTATTTCTAGCGCCCTCGAAAATACCTTGGTCAGTCTATTGAGGGGTGGTGGAATTAGAGATTTGAGATATCAATACAAATATTTGTGATTGTTGAATAAAAGCCATGGTGAAGATTATTGATTCATAAAATGTCATTGGTTTTTCAAAAAACTTACAAATCACGAAGTACTAAATTGTAAGTATATAAACCATAGGGAGAGTTGAATATTCCCTAAAAATAGGGTTTTTTTTTGGTATTTAACCTCTTTGTTTATATAGGGTAATTGTGATGTTTTTCTTGTTAATGTTAGTTTTAACAATTTTTTTTTTTTATCTTCCTTCCTTTTCTAATCTAAATTTTCTCTTCTTTTCTTTTGTATCCTAAACTCTCACAGTAAGTGTACTTACCCCAAGTACCACACTAACGTAATATCAATGTACTAATTACGTGTGGACATTAAAGTTTATTTATATTTATTAATTTTTCTAACAAAAGTTAGCATATTTGAGAAATTACATTTTACAGTTTAGAAAATATGACTCTAAAATCTTAGATATAGCTTAACATTTAACGCTTTAACACAATACTAATGTAAAAATGTCTTTAATGTTGTCATTATACACAAGATGTTAAAATTAATTAACGGTTTTGACATAAAAGTGAGAATAGAATATTATTAGGCGGTAAAATGTAAAACTGACAATACCTTGGGGGGTAGTTTATGTAATTAATCTTTTTCTTTTTCCTTTTGGGACCAAAGTTGGAAAGTTCAGCCCAATTACCCTTTAAAGTTCACGAGAGATTACAAAAAGGTAACTGCTGGGGACTGTCCAATGGTCGGCGGGAGGCTATTAAAGTTGCCGTTATGTTCGGGTTGGGAAGGGGTGGAAGGGTTGAAAAAAAAAAAAAAGGATGGCGCTAGCGCCTCAGACGTAACTATCTACGGAGAAAGAAGAGCACTAGCCAAGTAAACGCAGAAATGTGAAAACTATAAAAAGTAAATTTCTGAAAGACAAGTAAACGCAGAACAAATGAGTGTTGTTGGTAGAAAACTGGAAAGGTAGAATTCTAGAAGACTTGTATGCAGGGGAAGGCATGACTATTAATCGTAAGTTTGATGTGCTTTTCACGAATTTACTTTCTATTGTGCATAATTCATTCATCTGATGCTTCTGCTTTCCAGTACATTTGCTGGTTGTCTTCTTCATTTGATTAATATTATTGCAGCAGTTTTATGCTTTCTTTAAATTTTGGTTAAAGTTATTACTGGGAAACTTGTTTGGCTTACTGGGTTTCTGCCCTTTAGGTTACAGGACAAGTTGATTAATTCTGCTTTTCTTATTCATTTGTTGCTGCAGTTGTGTGCGTTCTTGCATTTGGTTAATTTATTACTGGCAAAGGTGCCAATTTCTTGATTGTTTTCCTGGGTTTGGGCCCTTTTGGGTATAGAAGAAGTTGATTAATTCTGGTATTCCTGTTAGTGTTTTGATTCTTCAATTTTGGCGTAGGTGTTATGGATCATCAGTTCCCCAATTTGGTGAATTCTGTGAATGACTCTGAGTTTGGTAATGGGATTAATTTAGCAAGTTCAGAGCAATCTAATTTGGATATCGAATTTGAGAAGTTCTGGAATTCTGTGAACGGCTTTGAATTCAATAGTAGCGTTGTTTTTCCAAGTCTTGAGCAGCAACCTTTGAGTTCTTGTACTTTTGCTCCTCTGTATAACGTGAGCTCAGAGGTTGATTTTCCTGGTGATTATGAATCCTATCCTATGCTCAAGTATATCAACCAGATGCTCATGGAGGACTTTTCGGAAGAGCAGCCAAACATATCCCCTGATCCTCTAGCTCTAAAAGCTGCCGAGAAATCATTATACCATGTTCTTGGCAAGAGCTACCCTCCTTCGCCTCATGAACCAGTGGCAGCCTTAGATCAGATTGCAGAAAGCTCACAGGAATCCACTGATAGTTGTAGTCAGCATCATACAGATGGCTGTGACACTGATACCAGTACTATTGACAGCCGACCAATTCTTGATCCTGTTGAGTCATCTGGGAAAGGACATCAACCTTGGGATAAGTATTTCAAGTCATCCTTTCAGACCAGCTCACTCGACTCTGTTCATTCTCTGAGCAGTTCGAGCAATAGTGGCGATGGGCTAGTAGGTTTTTTAACAAATGAGAATATGATTTCCAGCTCTGTGAGTGATAGTGATACCATTTTGCAGTTCAAGAAGGGGCTAGAGGAAGGTAACAAATTCCTTCCAGCTGGGAAACTAATGAATATTGATTTAGATAAGTACACGTTACCCTCAAAGTTGGAGAATGCGGGTCTCGTGACCACGGGAAAGAAGGATGAGGAGTATTTGCGCACTGGAATGAGAGGAAGGAAGCACCAACACCAGGATGATGGTGATGCACATCTAGGAAGAAAGTACAAACAGTCTGCTGTTTCTATGGAAGAGGTTGAGTTGTCAGAGGCATTTGATAGAATATTGCTTTTTGGTGATTCCAGAGGGCAAGATTTATGTTGTAATGTTGATGTTGAGCAGCCAACTCAATTATCTGAGGCCTTGGATCATGAATCTGATGTTAGTAAAAGTACAGAAGAAAGGCTGGGTACTGATAATGAAGCTCTTGACCTAAGTGCATTATTGCTTAACTGTGCACATTCTGTTGTAGCTGATGATCGTAGGACTGCAAATGATCAACTAAAGCTAATTAAACAACATGCTTGTTCCACTGGTGACCCACAGCAGCGGTTGGCCATTTTATTTGCCAATGCTCTTGAGGCACGCTTGGCAGGCAATGGACCTGAGCTTTATGCCACGGTAAAGTCCAAGAGGAGGTCAGCCGCTGAGGAGTTAAAAGCCTTCAGGGTTTATCTTTGTGCTCCTTTCAGGCAGATTGCTTCTTGCTTTGCAAACAAAATGATCCTTAAAGCAGCATCAAGGGCTAAAACACTTCACATTGTTGATTTTGGCATTGGCTACGGCTTTCAGTGGCCCAGCCTCATACAACAGCTTTCTAATAGAGATGGTGGTCCTCCCAAGCTACGCATTACTGGAATAGAATATCCCAAACCTGGATTTCGGCCAGCAGAAAGAATAGAAGAGACGGGCCGTCGCTTGGCAAAATACTGTGAAAGGTTTAATGTACCTTTTGTGTACCAAGCAATTCCAATAAAGAATTGGGAGAAAATTAGACTTGAAGAGCTAAAGCTTACAAGAGATGAGGTAATTGTGGTGAACTGCCAGCTTCGTTTCAAAAACATGCTTGATCAGGTAGTGGATGGTGATTGTCCAAGGGATGCAGTTTTAAGATTAATCAGAGAGATTAATCCTGCTATTTTTGTGAGTGACGTTCTTAGTGGACAACTTTGTGCTCCCTTTTTCCTCACTCGGTGCAGAGAAGCACTCTTTTTTTTCTCTGCAGTGTTTGATTTTCTTCACCATAATCTGCCACCCGATGATAAGCAGAGGTTGAAATTTGAACAAGAATTTATGGGAACGGAAGTGATGAATACCATTGCATGTGAGGGCTCGGAGAGGGTTGAGAGGGCTGAGACATACAAGCAGTGGCAAATCCGTTATAAGAGGGCTGGTTTCAAAATGCTGCCTCTGAATCAGGATCTTAAGAAAGAATTAAGAAGCAAAGTTAAAGAAGGGTACCACAAAGATTTTTTATTTGATGAAGAAGGTGGTTGGATACTCCAGGGGTGGAAAGGCAAGATTATCACAGCTTGCTCTTGTTGGGTCCCTGCTTAGACCCTTTTTTTTAAGTTTTTTTTTTTTTTTTTTTACATTAGAATCCTGGTGCTGCCATGGATGGTGTGCGGGATATGCAAATTGATGTGCTGTAGTTGATGCTGCCTGTTATAGGCTTGGTTTGGACGGGCTAGAGTAGTGAAATTGCAGTACTGATGTCCTTTTCCGGTGTTGCTGAAAATTGGATTTGTCAAGATGTGATGTTAATCAGTCATGGGCTATCTGATCGTAAAATTATCTTATAGATACCACTATATATTCTAGTCTAAACTCATGCATCAGTTATCTTAGGCTTCTAGGATGACAATGAATGACCATTGAGATTTCCAAAAGAACTCAGGAATCTTCAGAACTTGTAATATGGAGTCGATGCCATTGACAGGTTTCTTGTGTACTTCTGGTTCAGGATGGAAAAGATGCTAGTGTTTCCAATGGCAATTGAAAATCTGAAATCCATTTATCCAAGACCTTGTGCAGAGACTGTAGTGCTGGTCAGAGAGTAGGATCTGCATCTTGGATGCATCCTATTTTTACCAATGTATGGAGCTCAAATGTTCTAATAAATACTTTCTGAGATGAGAAGTGCTCCCTGAATGCTGATCTTACCAGGTCTGGTTCACCTTCCAACTTTCAATATGTATTCACCTCTTTCTTTTTTTGCATTTTTTTTAATTCTTAATTTCCGGAGCAAACTGCAGTTTCCATTTTCCAAGTCATTTGTTGTAGGAGTACATTACTATCTATCATTATATACACTCGTTCAGATAAACATATTGATTTATGATATAGGAGTATGAGATGTATGAAAGTTATGAACATCAATGGATAGACTACTGTCTCTTGTCATTGAGGAAGGTAAAAGTACTAAGCATTTCTGATGTATTCTCTACATTGACATTTTAAAGGTCTACCAATTCTATTATCAAAAAAAAAATAAAAAATAAAGGTCTACCAATTCTTTGTGTGTTTCTCACCTTTTGTTTTAGAAGATAGTAGTGCACTTGAGACTCTGGTTAACATTAGAATTTCAATTATGAAACGGAAATAGTATGAAGGCAATAAGATTCATTCTTTCCTATCTGGATTGTTTTAACTTGCATAGCATGTCCTCATCCTCAAGCAATTATTAGTTGACCAAAAAAAAAAAATCCTCTTTTGTTTATATAGATTTGTCTATTTTTAATGACATAATACTCCCTTTTCAACATAAATGCTTCCAAAAGCAACACTATCTATGATGCATCGCCACTGTCCCGCTATCAATTGTTATCTTTTTTAAAATGGGACGTGCAATTACATCACTTTTTGATAGTGCATGCAAAGCGCATTTTTCATTTCGTATAAATTCCTGTAAAATGCACCTTTCTCCCTGTGGTTTAGCAATTAGGCACCTGACCCTCTTGTGCTTTCCAAACGTACTTAATTCCGGTAGCAAAGCCACATGAAAGTTCATAAATTTTCAAAATTATTCATTATTTGGCCCCCCAACCCTCCCTAAAATTTTTAGAATTCTCTTTTCTATCATGCATTGCTCTCCTGAATAATTGAAAGTTCATAATTATTACCTTTCACAAGAGTGTTAGACCTGACAAAAGTCAAATATGGATATGTTAATTTAAAGGTAATTTTCACTGCAAATTTTAAGCACAATTTGGATTTGAAAGCATATTTAACATAGGAAAAAATGAATGTTTAAGATAAACATATTTATTGGTTTTAAATTCTACTGTTACTACAGTTCTTGTGACATAGGAGTTTAACCCCCTACCTTTAGAGTACTTGTTCCGCCATTGCTTAATTCTATCTTGTGCTTGGGTAAAAGTTTATGACGAACGGAAAAATGTGTTTTGAGGTTATGCACCCAATGTGAGGGATTTTTCTTTTGAGGGAAAATGGCCTGTTTTGTCCTTCACGTTTTGCGAAATTTTTTTTCGTACTTCACTTTAAAACAAAACAAATTAGTTTCTCATGTTCCAATAACCAAGAAGATTAGTCCAAAAACGACTTGATATAGATTTCGGGACTAAAATTAGAAATCACTTTAGTTTCTTTCAAATCTAGCTATATCTAATATGCACATGACATTAAATCAAAATAAAAAAGAAAAAATTAAAAATTTATAACATCGAAAACAAACTCTTCTCTCTAAAAAAAAATTAAAAATTTTTGAGTTATAAAATTTCGTTAATCAGGGATAAAATTGGAACATCACTTCATTTTTAATTCCTTATTTTTAACTTAATTTTTAGTTTTAAAACAAACCCCACTTCGAGTACTGCTTTCCCATACATGCTCTTTAATCTTTCCTTCAATCCCAGTCTTTATGGTGTCTTTCTTATTTTTTCCTTGCCTTTGCCTCTTGGAACCTGTGTGCCTGTCACTAAATTTTTAATTCCTTATTTTGTAACTTCAAAAATTTTAATTTTGTTATACAGAATGGTTTCTTTTTGATGTTATAATTTTTAATTTTTTCCTTTTTATGTTGACTTAATATCATGTGTATATCAAGTGTAGTTAGATTTGGAAGAAACTAAAGCGATATTTCAATTTTACCCTTAAAATTTATATCAAGTTATCATTATAGGACTAGTTTGCTTCATTTTTAGAATGTGAAGGACTAATTTGTTTTATTTTAAAAGTAAGGGACAAATTTTTTCCTCAAAATATGGGGGATGAAACAGTTTATTTTTCCTTTTTAAATTGATTTAACCTTTGTTATTTTTTCTACCAAAAATATCCTCAAGTGGGTTAAAGTAGCGTTAGTGTTGTATGTCCTAAACCCAATCGAATTTGCAGTTGTATTTACAATTCTATGTCTGTGCAACTTTAATCATGGCATCTTTATCGTTTTTTATTACATATATTGTTCTAAACAATGCAAATGATAAAGTCTTTAGAACAGTTAACCATGTAGAGGAAATTATAAAGAGGTATGATGACAAGATTCTTACTACACGTGTTATTATTCTTAAATATCTCTGGTCATAGAATTAGTAATAAAGGTCATTGCTAATTTGGATAGATTAGAATGTACTACTAGAGGTGTGCAAAATCGAAAAATTCCGATTTACTGATCGAATTCAAATTGAATTCGGAATTTTCGAAATCGGTAAATCGGAAATCGGAATCGAATTCGGGTTTTCCGAATTCATATATTTCGAATTTGGTCCGAATTCGGTAATAGAGTTTTTCAAATCGGAATTCTAATTCCGATTTCGATTTCAAATTCGTTTTTAATATATATATGTATATTTTATACATGTAATATAAAATTTATATAATATAATATAATATAATATAATATAATATTATAAATTATAAATTATATAATAAATTATATATTATATAATAATATATAAATTTTTCCAAATTTGGTGAAATCAGAATTTACCGAATTCCGAATTGAATTCGGTACGAATTCGAATTCGGAATTAGTGAATTCGAAATCGAATTCGATCGAATTATCAGATTCCAAAATTCCGAATTCAAACTTCCGAATTACCAATTTCGAATTCGATGCACAAGCCTATGTACTACTGCTTCCTTATGAAGGGAGTAGTTGATTTCATCGACTATAATATACAGACACCTACACTAATATAAGTGATTCTTAGATTTGAAATCATCATTATATCTTGAATGTCAATGAACAGAGTCAATTTGACTCTGTTCATTGACATTCTTAACTAAGTGACTTATATGGTAGAGATTATGTATATTCTGAAGCATGGAAGGGTTGTGAGTGATCAATAAAGAATTTATCCTCCTAATAGTAGGAGCGCATATCCCTTGTGCCTTTTTGTTGAAATATACTTTGAAATGTAGAGTGGAAGTGAAATTTGAAGAATTTCAAATTTCAACTTCGCAGAGAGTTATATTTCAGGAACAAGAAAAATTATTATTATTTATGGAAGTGGACACAAATTCTTTACTTCTATACTGGTTTGGATATAGTAAAGTAAAGAAATAGTAATTACATGGCAACCATTCATAAGATAGATGAAGCCAAACCACTTGATTTTTCTAATTATTTGGGCGATCACGGTGCATTATTAGATGCCAATCTTGATTTATAGAAATGAATTTGATTAATTGGTTGAATTTAAAGGAGTTTAATTTTCTAATATTTATCAAGGATTATAATTTATATTTATTATCAACGTGTCATGAGAATCTAATAGATCACACATAAAATAGAGACTTAATAAGATAAGGAGCGGAGGGAGTTGTTGGGGGCAAGTAGGGGTGGCAATTCGGGTCCAAATCAGGTTGGCGGGTCGGGTTCGGGTCAACCCGTCAGAAAATCTGTTGACCCGAACCCGACCCGCCAACCCGTGACGGGTCAGGTATGCTGACCCGAACCCGAAAATTTCAGGTTGACGGGTTGGCGGGTCGACCCGAAATGACCCGAAACTTAATTTTAATTTATTAATTTATCACTGTAATTTCTAATAAAATCAATTTCTCACAAAACTAATTACATAATCAAGTAATAAAAATTTAAATAAATAATTCCAAACCAAATCTAAAATAAATTAAACACCGTAAAAGTGTTTTATCCCAAACAAAATATAAAATAAATTAAAACAATATAAAAGTAAAAAATAATATAATATATTCTTTGTCCAAATATAATAATTTCAACTTCACACAAATTAAATAAATTCATTTAGGATTAAGTAATTAATGCCTTTGAAAAAAAGAATAACTTAGTTTAGTTAGATAAAATTATTTTTATGTTTATTAAATTATTTTTAATTCGTAAACGGGTCATATCGGGTCATATAAGGTCACCACGGGTTGACCCGAAATCGACCTTTTTTCTTTTCGGGTTCATCGGGTCCAACCCGATTCTGACCCGAATTCCCGAAACCTCAACCCAAACCCATTAATTTCGTGTTAGGTTCGTGTCGTGTTTTCAGGTCGTGTCGAAAATTGCCACCCCTAGGGGCAAGGAAAAGGAGGGTAGAGAAGGGAAGGAGGGAGGGGAAGGAAGGAAGGAAGAAAGAAAAGAAAGAGGGAGAGGGAGGAGGAGAAAGAAGGAAGGAGGGGGAGGAAGAGGGAGGAGGGGGGAGGAAGAGGGTGATTGCGATGAAGGAGGAAGGACGAGTAGGTGGCGGTGGTGGTAAAAAATAATAAATGTTTAAAAATATCCCATAAAATTTTAAATTTTAAAAATATCTCAAAATACATCATGAAAAACACTTTATCTCTATGGATCATCGATAGTTAGAAGTTTTTCAAATACAATGCTACATTATAACTATTCAAAAACACTTCTAAAAATACTTAATCGATATAGATCCATCATTTGAGGCTAAACATTTGGGTGGCTTGGTAGTTTCCATCTACAACCTTTTCAAAGTGATGAAAATTGCACCTTTGAGTTATTCTTCTAAAACCCACTTTGTTTATCCATAAGATCTACAAAGAGATTCATCGCGTAGAAACAAAATTTAAAATTTTTTTTGCTACCTTTTCGAGTTGTTTCCTTCAAATAGAAACAGGAAAAAGTTTAGTCGTCAAAATCAAAACTTTATAATTTCCTTTTATTCTTCCTTAACAATAAATATAGTGATAAATTCCAATCTATAAATGCATAAATTGGTGAGGTTGAACAAGAAAACTGAAAAAGGGAAAGGGATTTAGTGAATTTGATATCTTAGTATAAGATAGAGAAGTGAATTTGGCAACTGACAAGTTTTTGAACTAGCGGCTGAGGTTGAAACTCCTAGAATTAGATGTTTTAGTTTCAAGTTCTCCCTTCTCCCTCCCCACTTCTTAAATCTTACCCATTCTCTGTTAAAAATGGTTTTGACAACGGGTGTTTGTTTGACTAGTTTAATGTTTTAAATCCACTTTGCAATTTTATCCAAAGCACAAGTGGTTTTTAAGTAGGTTTGAAAAGCATAGGAGAGTATTATGTCTAATTACTAAATCACAAGGTTGTGTGGTGCATTTTATCTTTTATTCTTTTATGGGGGCAAAACATCTATTTACCTTTCAAACTTCAACATTCTTACCGTTTTAGCCATTCAATTATTATTTGTATTTTTTGGCCCCTTACGAAACATACCACAAAACAAGCAACTCCTACGACTATTCCTCTCCAGCCAATGACCATGGACTGAGGGTAGACCACTGCTTTACCATTGTTGAATTTTGATGGAATTATACTCTTGAACTTTATTGTAACATAAATTTCAAATATAGGCTTGCTTTTTTTTTGTTTTTTTTGTTTTGTGAATCTTTGCTAGATGAGTCTAGATATGAAGTCAAAGATTCATTTTACCACTATTTTACAAAATCTTCACCAAATATTTTCAACTTTATAACAAAATGTTCCATATAGCAAGGAGAGTTCAAATCGAGAAACAAAGAAATTGGCATGAAATAATTCAAATCTCCATAATATACCTTTGCACTATTTCAACCTTTTCCAGTTACTTCAAGGAAAATAAAAAAGAAAGGATGCCAAATTTTCAATATCTTATAATAATGAACTCCACATGTCGTGGAGATTCCAAATATATCTACCTTGTATATAAGAAAACAACCAGATTTAGTGCTTTCCTTTCCTCTTGCCACGTGGTTCCTTAATTATCTGACAAGTGGCAAGTAAAGTGTTTCTTACAAAGCTTCTCTTGACCGACCGAAGTCTTCTATTTCTTTTCCTTCTTTTGCCATTCCACCGTCTTCCCCTCAAATTGCATTGAAGCCTTTTCCTGCTCTCTCTACCACGCGCCTATTCTGAGCAAAATTCAGCACACCTATTCTGAGCAAGTCCCATCCCAACCGGCTATGCTACCAAACCCACCATCTCATCTCTTTGTGACTTCCTTCTTTAAGCCAACAGGTCAGCTGCTACTCCTGCAGCCGCTTGATTTGCTGATCATTCACATGGCCTTTGTACTTCAGAGCAGGAGAATTGGGTGCAGGTGAACTACTTTGCTTACACTAGCCGTTTTTCCCTCTTTCTCTGATATCCAATTAACCCGTTTCTGTATCGATTTCGTCTCATGTTGCCGAATTGTTGGAGCCTCACGTGATAGTTGTACTTCAAAGGAGTGAAATGGGGAATTTTTTTTTAGATATGCCATTCTATTCTGATCAGCTTTGGTATTCAATTTTCCACCCAAATTATGCTTTCTATTCAACCTTCATCATCCGTATGATTACGATTACAAATATCTGCTTGGATGTGATTTTTCCCTTATTCCAGTTCTGCTGAGAAGTAGGATTCCTATTCACTTAGCCTGTACCTTTTATCTGTATTTGCACGTCTCTTTCTCTAATCATACTCTCATTCTAACCTTCGTTCACTCTGGTTTTGGCTTTTTTCCCTCTTGATTCGGTATGTGCTATTTCATATGGAAGTACAATTTTTTGTTATTTCCTTTTTGGTTTGAACATTTGTTTTTTCTTCTTTTTATTTCCTTACCAGGGTTTAATGAATCTAAATTTTGTTCGAATATAGTGTTGATTTTTTTGTTGGATTTTCACAACAGATGAAGATCAGAAATAGGTGAATTTATTTTGTTCTCATTTTCGGCTGTGATGATACAATATTGTTGCCGTGAGTTGTGTTTCAGGCTTGATACTAACTGGATTTAAGCTGTATCTTGGCGAGGCAACTCAGATGGCATTTTGGAGTATATATTATTCCAGAACTGCAACTGAGTTTGCAGCCATGGTTGTGCTCTTCTTCTTCGCCTGCCATTGACAAACAAATTGGAGCTTTACTTTTAATTGTCAAAGTTCATTGTTTTTTTCATTTATTAGTCCAACGGTAGCTTAGTTTGTTCTTCCGAAATTCTCGTACAAATTCAGTTCTACTTCAAGTATTATTACTCCCTGTTTTGATGCTTTCTTATCACTTATCTCAGGTATGTTATGATCCCTTACAATGATTGCTTATGTTATATTTGCTTCATTAACTCAAAACATGGTTTTAGTATGACACTGCCTTCAAGTGAATATGTGAAATCTCATAGGCATGGCTATCAAATGTTTGATGAAATGTCTGTCTGAAACTTGGGATAATTGGTTCTTAGGTTGATTGCAAATGCAACAATAAATCTAGATGGTGTTTTTTGGATCTCTTGAGAAGGTTCTTTAAACAAAAGAATTGCTTCATTTGTGTTTCTATTGATATCTAAAACTAATAAATTAGCTTTATTTTGAATCAAATGTTGGCCATTTGATGGATTTTAGAGTAATCTAAGTGGTTCAACATTGTCACTCAACTTGCTGTCCAGATTCTTCTTCTTCTCTGCATTGAATTCACTGGTAAGTTTCAAAACTTATGTTAACTTAAAGGTCTTTTCCAATTTTTTCCTATTTTTTGAAAACTGAGTGTAGCGTAACATGATTGTTTTTTGCTTCTTTTTTGGTGGCTTGATAATATCAAACTCTTAAGAAAAAGTTCCGAGCTCATTCAGGACCGCCAGCTCCCCAGGGCACTCCTTTTTTATATCTGAGAAGCACCCTCCGATGTAGTATTTTGGTGCTGTAGGATATGGGGTCACTGAAACAGGGAGGTTGTAGCCATCCACTATACTTACGTCGTAGAAACTCGGCTGCCTCTTGTCAACCTGCAACGTAAACTCTACTAGCGTCACAGGAGGAACGCCGATCACCCCGGCGCATTCGAGTCGCCCGTTGCAGTCGCCTGTTTCACAGGCTCGTCCGTCGTTGAAGTAGTCGAAATTGCAGCCTGTTCTGGCCCAGATGCGGCCACTCGAATCTCCTGGTGCCTGGAATTTCCGGAGTCTCCCGGATGGAAGATAGAAGCCACCGTTTGCTACGACTGGAAAGCCTTGGTTCGGGGCAGTGGCAGGCCATATGGGAAATGGGCACTTGTTGCTCACGTAAAAATGTGCATGCTTCCACAACTCCACTACTGCCTATGGGTTACGTTAAACTATAAACGATGCAAAAGAAGAATGCTTTTTCATTTATTTGGTGAGTATCTGAATGAATTTTTGTTGTTATTGTAGGAGGCAACAAATTAAAACAAATCTTGCTACCATCAATTGAGTAATAGGTATTTCTTGCTTCTTTTTAGCTGTTAGGTTATTCAAAATGTTTTGTTTTATTCTTGCTGCTAATTGGAGAAATAAGTGAGTCACAGAAGAGTAATTTTTCTTATTTGGAATCTATAGGGCTATTTGTTGAGTTCAAATGCTTGTGCTCTTCTTTTAGCAAAGCTTTTATTAACTAATAATCTGAGCCTTAATTTTGATTGTCAAATTCAATTGTTGAATTATATTTAATAATTTGTATGTCTTGAGCTTGTGATTCAATTTTAGCTTTACTTCTGTAGCTTTGACTATTTTACTATTTTTCTTGCTATTTAATTGCCTACTCTATGATACTGACAAAAAATTCTCGGTACTTCTAATAATTTTTTGTCCCTGCTCTTTTCTTCCTTGTACTCCTGTAGATGTTAAAACTCTATTTTGAAGCTAGAGTTTTGAAATTAGCATGCTTAAGTTGCCAATAATTTTTAAATAATGACAATGCTAAATATGAGCAAATTTAATCTACTGAAAAACTGAGCATTTTCTTGTGAAAATAAAGTTGGGAAATGATTATTATTCTAAGGAAATGATTATTATTCTAAGTTCTAAGTCATTAGATTCTCTACCTAGACACTTTGTCCTTACCCGAGCATTCAAATGCAAGGTTAATATTTTTGTCCTTACCTGAGCGTTAAAATGCAAGGTTAATATTTAGAATGCAACCTTATTTATTCTTTTTATAAATTTTTAAAATTATTTATACTTTAAGGGAAAATAAATACCAAAATTGATATTTTTTGTCTAATAAGAGTATAAACATAATGAGAAGGGGTTTAAATGCTAGGTTAATTATTTACAAAGCATATATAAGTGCATCGCCTTTATTTAATTTTATAAACACTCTCCTTATTCCTTGGATTAGTGACAGGAAGAGATATGAAAAATTGATAAATTTTTCATAATACATAGAGATTGGATAAGAGATGATTTAATTGATGGCACAAAAATAAAAACAAATATGCCAGTTATGAGCCTTATGTGTTTAGAAAGTAATTTCTTAGGTTTTTATTTGTCTAGGACTTATTGGAAAAAATATGTTAAAACTTATATTTTTACAGTGTGGGAAAAAATATTAAGATGTATAAATCATATCTTTAATTGATATTTAAAAAGGAATATGAAAAAATGATTTTTTGCAATAAGACTACATGTGTGTGCTAGGGAAGATGTATTATTACAGTTTATACTCTGCTTTGGATTTTTTTCATTTATTTATCTGTTTTTATGGCCTATTAGATGTAAGTTTCAATTTTGGTTATCATGAAGTGTTTATCCTCTTAGTTGTGTCTTGGAAAGTTTAGTTTTTTGACATGTTTTCTTGAACCTTTTATATTGAAAATTTATAAATCCTCACTAGATGTTGGACTCATTTTTGTGTATTTCATGAGGATGTCCCTTTTGTGTTTTTTTTTTTTTGTGCGTAGGGTTACTTCTTGACAGCAATCAATTAATCTCAATGGGCATTGGCTGTGATCAATTAACCACTTGTTCTTTTGTGCACCTTAATGGATCTCAATATGTGATCTTTTGTAATTGCAGCCTATGATTGCACTTTATATTAAGTATTTAGCAAGTCATCTCTTGTCTCTGTAAGACTAACTTGCACTTGAAGATGTTAAGCTATTTGTCAAACTACTTGCCAATCTTTTGTCATCTTCTCTTCTCTTTTGCAATGCTAATGATTTTTTTGTTTTGTTTAGTCTCATATTGTTAGCTGCATACTTGATTGGTAATTTATAATTTTAAGAATGCTATTTCGCAAACATTACTGTTAATCCTATTTTATATGACAATAGATTATAGGGGGCCTAGGCTGTGCTTAGCACAGCCGATAACCTCCTAGTCTTACTATAAGATAAACAAAAGGCCAATGTTACTGTAGCAACTCCTTTTGCTGACACGTGGCACTAAGGATGAATTTTGAGCTTTTTCTTTTGCTTTGTCTATAGACTTGACATTGTCTTGTGAAGTTGGCATTGTTTTAGATGTGCTCAATGACCTAAATTAGATTGCATTTAACATTTCTTTATAATGTTGCATTATTTTGAGCACACTTTTTAACCTCTTTATAAGATTGCATTATTTTGAGCACACTTTTTAACCTGTACATTCTGAACAGATATAATATAATTCAATTATACAATTTATATAATTATTATATGTACATTAACATTTCAACTTATATTTGATAGATTAACTTAAGATTTAATTATTTCTATTCCAGTTTTAAAGAAAAGGCCAATGTTACTATAGCAGCTCCTTTTGCTAACGCGTGGCACTATGGATGAATTTTGAGCTTTTTCTTTAGTTTTGTCTATGGACTTGACATTGTCTTGTGAAGTTGGCATTGCATTAGATGTGCTCAATGACCCAAATTAGACTGGATTTAACATTTCTTTATAAGGTTGCATTATTTTGAGCACACTTTTTAATGTGTACATTCTGAACAGATATAATATAATTCAATTATACAATTTATATAATTATTATATGTAGATTAACATTTCAACTTATATTTGATAGATTAACTTAAGATTTAATTATTTCTATTCCAATTTTCAACCTTATCATTTAAATCATTTAAAATTATATTTGTTAAAATAAGTTATCATTCAAAGTTAATGTAAAGCAAAAGATTATTTAAAATTTATTCTATCCTATCATAAAGAAACTTTTCAATCTCTACATTTTGAACATGTATAATTCAATTATAATTTATATTTATTACTATTTACATTAACATTTCAACTTATATTTGACAAATTAATTCAAGATTTAATTATTTGTATTCGAGTTTTCAACCTTCATAAGTTATCATTCAAAGTTAATGTAAAGCAAAGGATTATTTAAAATTTATTCTATCCTATCATAAAGAAACTTTTCAATCTCTACATTTCGAACAGGTATAATTCAATTAGAATTTATATTTATTTCTATTTACATTAACATTTCAACTTATGTTTGACAAATTAATTCAAGATTTAATTATTTGTATTCAAGTTTTCAACCTTCACATTTATAATTGTACTAGTTTTTTTGGCCCTCGTGCTGTGCACGAGAGTGCCCAAGATCTACTTAAATCAGTTTAAATCAAAAGTTAACCAAAGCATGTAATTTTAGCGAAACAATGGTTATAAACTCATTCAAATGATTATATTCAAAATTTGTTAAGCAAATCTAACTAAAATTATTATTAGGAAGTACATGAGTAGTCATCTTATCAACCACTTGGTCAAGGTTCAAACTTGAATACTAATCAATTCCTGCAGTCAAGTGATTAAGTATCAAATTAACCCTACACGAGGACATGCAACAAAGGCATTCAGATGAATCAACAAATCATCTTAAATCTCCTAAACTAAGTACACATAATATAGCAATGAAGTCTTCCAATGAAAATTTGGGTAAAAAAGCAAACTTCAAGTGATACTTCATCATCATTCCACCAATCATGCTCCACACATCAGAGGATAATTAGCAAGTATATAATCCTGGGATAACCACATAGAAATGCTGTCTATCAGTGCCAATTATGGTTGGTGGACATTGGTGCTGCAGCAATGCAGAATTGCTTAGCTTGACTGTTTTGTAGTGGTTCAAACTTCTGTGTGGTACTTGGCATTCATAGAATTGCCGGGAAAGTACCATACTCCATATGTGGTTATCAATGTACATGTGAAATAGTCAAGAGTAAAATGACCAGGAAGGGAGTAAGCAAGCTTCTAGCCTAGGGAAGCAGAAATGTAGAACAATTTGGTATACTGGTCTTGGCTTATAGATAATAACATTGATGATGAACAAAGCACCAAATGCTTGATTTGTTGTCTAAATATGTTAAGTGATTCAGCTTTCTTCATTTTTTGTTAGACAAGAAACTGTTTGAATAACTGTCAAGAAAGGCACTTATATTTTTCTTGTTACTTGCTTTTGGATAGATAAATTAGTTGTAATGCCCGTGGAATACAAGCATCTAGTCACATGTTTCTTTTTGCTCCAGGACTGTGGAAAGTAGTTTTTATACTATAACTGAAGTAGACTTTAGGCAAAAGGAGCAATCAGGCATTTAACTATAACAGCTACATTTACTATTACCTTCGCACCAGTTATGAACAAAAGCTTATCCTCCACTTCAGGCAAACAAATCCAGCTGCTTTTCTAAAGACAGGTCAAGAAATTTAACACTAATAGTTTATAATCAACCTCGCACACAGAATCTAATTATAGACCAACAAATTTAACAGCCAGAGACAACTGACAAGCAGCAAGAAAACAACAGTACAACAGACAAAATAAAATCAAGGCAAAGGTAGAGCAAGGAGTTCACCTTGCAAAAGTACCAAAACTAAGCTTTTATCAATATTTCTTACAATCGTAACTGAGCAAAAATCAGTAACCTCAATTATTTATGTTAAATACAGCCCTTAATTATAAAGGGAGAAACATGAAGAGCAGAACAAGCAAATCATGTCTTGTGACAAGAAAGTAACAGTGCAGCAAAGAAAATATGATCAAGGCAGAAATGGAGCGAAGGACTCAGCCTGCAAAACCACCAAAAGGCAGAAATAAAGCGAAGAGTTCACCCTGCAAAATTAGGGAACTGAAGCTTTCAATTGAAAAAAGAAGTTGCTTTTGAGATGGTTTGCACAGAGTATTAGCGAGGCAAAAGAGTGAAGAATTCACATTGCAAAACCGCCAAACCCAAGCCTTCAATTGAAGAAAGAAACAAATCCAATGTGCTGCTTTTGAGATGGCTTGCTCACAAGATTACCTAGGCAAGAGAGCATTGTGCGGCTCCCACAGACCGCTTCGTACACCGCCCACTTACCAATAGAGCTGAAGCAACGACAATTACAAACAAGATGGACGGTCTTAGTTGGAGAAATCAAACACACACCTAAAGCACAAATACAAAAGCCACCAAAAATTGCCCATAATTACTGGATAACCGGTCCATGGGCACTGTAGCAATTCCAACTCTCGCTTTTAGTATAGTAAAGATTTGTCAAAATAAGTTATCATTTAAAGTTAATGTAGAGCAAAGATTATTTAAAATTTATCCTATCCTATTATTAAGAATAAGATTATTATTTCTGCTTAGTGCAATGTACATTATTCTTCCTATTATAAAGAAACTTTTGAATCTCTACATTTTGAACAAATATAATGCAATTGGAATTTATAGTTATTACTATTTACATTAACATTTCAACTTATATTTGACAAATTAACTTAAGATTTAATTATTTCTATTGAAGTTTTCAACGTTATCATTTAAAATTAAAACTTTCAAATTAAGTTATCATTTAAAGTTAATGTAAAGCAGAAGATTATTTAAAATTTATCCTATCAATAAGATTATTATTTCTGTTCAGTGCAGTCTACATTTTTCTATATTTTCATTTGTTTTATTGTCATCTAAAGTTATACAATTGGACTAACATTGCCACTTAATATATAATATATTTTTATTATCAATTCTATTTTAATTCATTTATACGTTTGGTTCTTAAAGTTGTCAATTCCAGTTAAAAGTTGAATACTTCCAGTTAAGAGTTGAATATACTTCCAACTTATTTCTATTCAAGAAGCTCTCAAAGTTATGGATTCCAGTTAAGAGTATTCCAGAAAGCAACTTAGAGATTGTTTGGTTGTCCAGTTTTTACTCTGGTTTGTTTGTAACAAAGTCAAAAAAATCAAGCATTCTTCAACCACTACATTCTTCACCTAATCAGATTAGACAATTGCTTTCTTTGTAAGAGTTAGGTTGTACTTCATAGAAATGTCAATTTTTTGATAAGTTATCAGTTGTACTTCATCTTTTCATAACCATTAGATTCAAATACAAAGTACTAGATTAGTTGAGATTGAATAGTGCAGTCCACGCTACTATATACATTCATAGCTGCTGTTCTGCTTTATTTCTCTTCCATTCACACATAGCAGAAACAAATCTTCCTTCACTTTCTTGCTCTGTGATCGTTTGGTAATACCATTTTTCTTAGCTTTTCCTTCATCATATATATGCATTTATATCTTATTGTAGTAACATATAGTTTCTTTTACATGTTTTCTGTTTTTACGTTGCAGCATTGCTTTCAGCATTGAAGATTTTGGCTTGCACCATTACTTTACTTCAGGTTAGTCATGTTACTCATAACTAGCCTACCTAATGTTTGATAAAATGCTTGTTAAGGTTTCTTGATGCTTCATATTTACAAATTTCATAAGTATTGGTAGTTGCTTATTATTGAATTATATACACTGTGTGCTTATGATTGTGAACTCTGGTAATGAATTTTCAAACTGCTTAGTCTAAGCTATTTGTTCATCTGCAAGATGTTTGCTTATTTCTTTAATGCATAACGAAGATAATTGAATGTCTGTTTCATCATGAGTTAAATTTTGACAGTCACAAGAAAGGAAAAAATTAATTAGACAAGCTAACATAATTGTTGACTCAGCTGATAAAGGATGTAATAACAAATTTTATGTCAATCAATATCAGGAAATTGTAACATGCAAGTCGAAGACCAAAATTTCAAAAGTTCAGTGTCTAGATCATCCGCTGTTGTTCCTGTTCTACATGGCAAAGAGGCTACTACACACAGCTATGCCATGATGTCTAATTTACAACACATTCCTTTTATAAGCTTGCCACATTTAGGTAACCATTTAGAGAAGAAAAACTATAGAAGGCAGGCTTACCTTAGATGGAAATGAAAAAGATTGCGCTTATATCATTTTCAAATGAAGAAGCAATCTTCTACTGAACCAGTCAACATTCCTCTATCGAATATTGATAGAGAACATCTGCAAGATGCCTGTGAAGCTCAAAACAATGAGAATCTTAAGCTTGCTAAAAATAGGCAACAAGCATGTATTAGATGGAAGTCTAAAAAGTGTCGCAATGAAACTGTCCAGCCTACTCAGGCTGTTTGTACTAGATGCATAACCACATGTGACAGTATAATCCAGCCATCAAGAAATTCTGAAAACATTACTACACCTATGAACCATAATAAAGGTAAGTCCTTTTATGACTCATCAAACTTTTAGTGTATCATCTACTTGGTATTATATTTACTAAAATTATGATCTTGTGATCTCATGTGTCAAATCAATCATTGCAAGATGAAGCAATGCAACCGTCATATCAACGGCAAAGCCATGTGCCAAAGAAAAGAAAACGTTCAGGTTACAGTCAACATTTTTTACTTTATCTTGATAAAAAAAAAACACCTTACTATAAAAGTTTCTAATATAGTCAGTTATTATATTTTGTTTTACTTTAAGAAGCACTCCTAAGAAAGGAAGATAGTTGTTAGACTATATAGTTGACACTCCTGATATTCTGCCAAAACAAAAAGACTGTTCGCATTGTGGAGCTAAAAAGTTTTACTCAGAAACGACAAACTTTTGCTGTGCTAACGGTGATATAGTCCTCACGCAGAATAAGATTCCAGATATTTTGAGAGAACTCTTAACTTCATCTTCTGAGGAAGCGAAAACATTTAGGCAATTGATTAGAACTTACAATAATCATTTTGGATTCACGTCTTTTGGCATTAAATGTGATAAGAATCTTTCTGAATGCAACAAAGGAGTGTATACATTTAAAGTACAAGGACAAGTGTATCATTTTCTGAACAACTTGACACCTGAGAGCAATCCAGGCAGTAACATGCAATTGTACATTCATGACGTTGAAAATGAGCTTTCTAACCGTAAAGCTGCCTGTCCAAGACTATCAAAAAATGTAATAAAAAAAATCATGCCTGTTCTTGCGAACAATCCATATGCAAAATTTTTTAAGAGCTTAAGCAATGTTCCTAATTTAGCCAGCTATAAGATGATTCTGCGTACTCTGCCTGGTGTTGACCAGAGAGTATACAATAAGCCAACTGAATCGTAGGTGGCTGCTTTATGGGTAGAAGGCGAAGAAAATGGTGAAAACAGTTGGCGTAATATTCAAGTATATACTCATGGTGGACAGCCACGAAACATTGAGTATTACTATGCATGTTACGATCCATTACAATACCCATAAATGTTTCCCTTTGGAGAACTGGGATGGCACCAAGGCATTCCAAAGAAAGGAAAAAAAAACAAAGAAAAAGAAAGATAAGACAAAGAGGAAACTATCAGATGTGGTCTCTCCAGCAAATGCTTTTACTGTTGATCAATTACTTCACAATGAAGAAGCTGGTGAGTACACTAGAAAGTTATAAATATCATACCACATTATAACTTACATACATAGCTATTCTAAATAGTTTATTAATTTTTATATTGCAATAATGGGTACACTAGAAGACGATCCAAATTTTGTTTCTCTCAGAGAATATTATGCTTATAAACTTCAAATCAGAGATTTAGATGAATCTTTTCTGTTGCATTTTGGTCGATTATTACAACAATATGTAGTTGATGGCTATGTCAGAGTTGAAACACAGAGACTTGACTTTTTCAGATCACAACAAGAAGAAATCAGAAAAGAATTTTTGAATGGCATAATTGATGCAGTGGCATCTAGAGAAACTCGAGGATCAAATGTTGGTCAGTGAGTTATTTTGCCACCAAGCTTTATAGGAGGACCAAGAAATATAGGCCAAAGTATATGGATGCAATGACGTTAGTCCAAAAATTTGGCAAGCCAGATCTTTTTTTGACTATTACTTGCAATCCTAATTGGCTAGAAATAAAAGACTATGTAATTGGAAAAGATGAAACAGAAAACCGACCAGATTTGATTTCTAGAATTTTCCATGCTAAAGTAGAGCAATCGAAAAATGAACTCTTCAAAAAATTTTTTTTTTTGGCTAGATAGCAGCCTATACATATGTTATAGTGTAAGACTCCGGTCAGTTCTTAAGTTTGATATTAGGTGATATTCATTATTTGTGCGATAAAATTTGGGGTTTTAGGGTTAATTAGAAAACCCTGAGTTGGGGTTAGGATTGAAACCCTAGTTTTTGTATTAATCATAAGTTCGAGTGGTGATTAAAGCTAGTTATGCTAGTGTGTGTTTTAGTATAGGTAAGTATAGGATTTGATCCATTTTATATAGGTTAAATAAGTTTAAGAAGGTTAGAAAACCTAAATGAGTAAAACCTCTAGTGTTATGATTTATTAGAAGTTTTAAGTTGGGTTTAAACCCTAATTTTGCCCTTGACAAAAAGGTTATTGTTTACTTGCTTTTATGTGGGATAAAGTGTGTTTAAGTATAGGTGATTAATATAGGAGGGTGATTAGTGAAGTAATTAAGTGTGGTTAAGTGTTTTAGATTAGATTAAGTTGGTAACCTATGGAGTAAATTGAAAGCTTTTCAAATGTTTAAGGGCAAGAGTTGATCAAATGCAAAGTTGAAGTTGTGAGGGCTTGAGAGCAAAAATGAAGTTTTTGTGTGATTGGTGGAAGTAGAAATATCTTCCAAGGCTTTGACCATCTTATACATATAATAGGATTTCCATAAAAAACAAAACAAAATAAGAAAGAAGAGAGAGAGAGAGGTGGCCGAGAGCAAGAGCAAAGAGCGAAAGGAAAAATTCTTCAAAGTTCTTCTTCATCTAGCTTCCATCCTGATCTTGGGGTTTAAGGGAAACAACTTGGGCCTTGTTTGTGGTAGCTTTCTTCATTTACAAAGCTTTCTTGAAGGTAAAATTATCTCTCTCTTGGAAGTTAAAGTTGGGGAATTAATTTTGAAGCCATGAAAGTGAAGTTTTGTTGTGATTATGAACTTGTATGATTCATGTGGTGTTTATGGTGTTGATTGATGGTTTATTTTAGTGGTTTATTGCTGCCCAAATTTCGGTTAAGCTTATGAAAGAATTAGGGTTTCTTGCTTCATAGTTATTCAAGTTGATTTGGATGATTGTTAGGCTTGTATATGGAGCCTATGATGTGTTAATTTCACTTGTGTGGTTAATTGTTAGTAAAATCAGATTTTGACCATGAAACTCTAGACTCCATTAGGTTAGTTTAGCTTGGCTAGAGTTTAGTTGGTTAGGGTTGGTTAGTAGATTGTTGGAATAAGTTCAATGGTGCCAATGAGTGAGGATAGGGATTTTGGTTAGTGTTTGGTAATTTTATGGTCTTAGAGGGAAAGTTTTGGCCCATTAGTAGGCCATGTAGAAGTTAGTATATGTGTGCTTATTTGGTAGGAATTGGGTTAGAAAGCTTGCATAAGAACCATAGAATGGACCGCGCGGTTGCGGCGCGCAAAAAAAAACAGGCAAACTGGAAACCAGGGCAGTTCAGCATCTGAACTTTGGCTCCATTTTTCTTGATGTTACATACGGATTCAGGTTTGCCCAAAACATGAAAGTTGTAGCACATTAAGTCCTTGTTGTGCCTGCAAAATTTCAGCCCAATCCGATTAGTAGATCCTGAGTTATGGCCAAAACCTTCACTTCTGTTCTAAACCCAGGATTTTGCTACGTTTCTGGATTTTGCCTCTGACCGTATTTAGTTCACTTTGATAACGTGCGAACTGGGTATTGATACCTTCATAAGAATGTAGATCTTGGTCTTAGCTTCGAAATGGTATAAAGTGCATCCGAATCCGAGTTCCGTAGCTTCAGTTATGACCAAAACAAGATCAGTTGTCAGAACTGCCTTCGAATTTGGACCGTTCTGACAGGAACTTTGAACCCCTTTTTCCCTATGCTCCATACTGATTCAACTTTTGGTCAAAACACAAAAGTTATAGCCTTATAAATAAACTTTCTAACGCCTCTGGAATTTCTTGATTCCGATTTTTGAGTCGTGAGTTATGGTCTTTCAAACAGGGCCTGTTTGGTAACCCGAAATGAAATGGCTGGAACTGTTTTGCAGATTTTTGTCCTAGTTCCATTGAGATCTGGCTTGAAGTGCCTTTACGAAAGTTGTAGCCCTTCTTCTTAGTTTCGTAACAGAACCTCATGTACTTCGATCCGATAACCGTAGCCTGAAATTTGATCAAAACGGTTTTAGGTGCCAAATCTGCCGTTTCCGTTGCCGGCCGTTTACGTTTTCGTTTGCCGTTTCCGCACTTGCATGTGCCAATTTTGCCGTTTTGCTTGTTTTAGGCATGTTAGTAGCCGTTTGTGATATTATGTGATGCAATCTTTTATTTCAGACGGTGGTGAGTTAGGCGGAGCCGGTGGGGCCTACTACTAGCTACTCTACGTGACATAAATTGAACACCTTTTGATATCTTTGTTTTGAAGTAAGTATTCGGGCCGTTTTGTATATATAACTTGCTTATGTGTTTTGAGGTGAATGAAAGGGTACCTAGGCGAGGGTGTACTTTATCGCATTCGACCTAAACCCTAATTTACATGCATATTTATACATGACATGTCTAAATGAATTATTTTTGGTTTGAACCCCTTGAGCTTGTAACTCGGGGTGACGTTTGTGAGTTGGGGTCGATCTTCCGACCTAGATGGACTATTCGAGCCAGTCGGGGTTTGGTCGAAACCAGTCCAACTTAGTCTGAGGTCACCAAGTTTGTGAATCTGGTTCACCGAGAATATGAACCAAGTTTGTGAATCGAGCTTGTGAACCAAACTCAATTTCGTTCGCTCGAGCAAGTTTGTGAGGTGACTGGCCAGTGAGGGTGATAAGGTGTTAGGTGGGAGTACAAGTGGAGTTCTACGGACCTTATTTGTGGTCGACGGAGTGTCGACAGGAGGTCACGCATGGCAAACGACTTGGCTTTGGAGCCAACCTGTATCCTTCATTTGTATTGTTACTTTTGCACTTGATTTGACATTTTGTGAAATAGTTGTTTATCTAAATGTGTAATTTATGATTTTACCCCTATTTACTTACTAAGCACATAACTTACCCCGTTTCCTTTGTTTTCCTTAGCAGGGGACGACACGGGGAACTCCTTCGCACATTCACTAGTATAGTTAGGTTTGCTTGTAATAGTTGGACAATTAAGATGGTTATTTTTGTTTTGGTGGTTTGTATAAGGACCCTCCTTAGGGTCTACTTTCTGCTGGTTGTTATCATAATGTAATGTAGTAGTTTGACTAGCTGCTTTTGGGGATGTAAATAGAACTCTTTTGGAGTTGGCTATATTGTGAATAGTACGCTTTTGGTTTATCTAGTTTTTATTGTTTTGAAATTTCGAGTCCTGGCGCGAGCTAAGCAGGCGTCCTGCCGATACCCTAGGGTTCACCCTTGGGAGAAGCGGGGGCGTCACATATAGAGTATCAGAAAAGAGGCTTACCTCATGCACATTTTCTTCTTCTCTTAAAATCAGAGCATAAGCTTTATAACCCCGAAGAATATGACAAAATTGTTGGTGCTGATATACTAGCTAAAAAACAAAATAAGCACTTGTATAGAATGGTTGTCAAGCATATGCTTCATGGTCCTTGTGGAGTAGCAAATCCAGAAAATGTTTGTATGAGAAAAAATGGAACTTGTAAGAACTCTTATCCAAAAGACTTTTGTGAATCAACCAATCAAACAGATGATGCATATCCAAAATATCGAAGAAGAAATAATGGTGTCAAAGTGCAAGTAAGAAATGCATTACTTGACAATCGCTGGGTTGTACCTTATAACCCTTATCTTCTTGCTAAATTTGATTGCCATATTAATGTTGAGATATGTTCAACAATCAAGGCAGTCAAAATATATTTATAAATATATCTGTAAAGGTCATGATAGAACTTCTTTCCGAGTTATTGCTGATTGTTGAAATCCATCCATTGATGAAATCCAACAATATCTATCAGCCCGATAGATATCACCTCCAGAGGCTACATGAAGAATTTTTAAGTTTCCTGTCAGTGAAATCAAACCAACTGTTATTCACCTTTAGCTCCACTTAGAAAATCAGCAGCCACTAAACTTCAAGAAAAACACCGATCTACGTAACATCGTAAGTAATACACATTTAAGACGAACCATGCTTACTGAATTTTTTTACATGGACCGAACAAACAAAGAGGCACAAAATCTCAAGTGCACCTATTCAGAGTTTTCACAATTTTTTGTTTGGAAAGTAGACAAAAGAATGTGGAAAATACGTGAGCAAGGAGACTCTATAGGAAGAATAGTAACTGCTCACCCTGCTGAAGGTGAGAGGTACTATTTAAGATTGCTACTAACAAAAGTTCGGTGTCCAACTTCTTTTTCTGACTTAAGAACATTTAATAGAGTACAAGTAGCAACTTTTCTAGAGGCGGCACTTTTGAGAGGGTATTTGCAACATGATGATAGCCAACAGCTTTGTTTACAAGAAACTTCTCTTTTTCATATGCCATATGAAATGGGGCGCTTATTTGCTACATTATTAGTTTATTCATGTTCAAATGATCCAACGGCTTTATGGCTTAAATTTGAAGATGTCATGTCTGAAGATTATGCTAGATTGAATATATTAACAGCCAGCCAAATTAGACTAAAAGTCCTTGAACAATTAAATGCCTTCTTAGAATCTATGGGAAAAAATATTTCTTCATATAATTTAGTTCCTCCTAGCGTTTCATTTACAGATGTTGAAAATGAAACAAGAGAGTTAAGAGTAGAACGTACTATAGCTATTTCAGCAGATGACTTAAATGCAATTGCGATGTTAAATACCAAGCAAAAAGAAGTATTTAAAATCATTCTGAAAGAGTCTACACAAACAAAAGAGGTGCATTTTTTATTGATGGTCTAGGTGACACCGGAAAAACATTCTTGTATCGTGCATTGTTAGCAGATGTAAGATCAAAAGGATTTACTGCATTAGCAGCTGCTACATCAGGTATTGCAGCTTCAATTTTACCAGGAGGTCGAACGGCTCATTCTTGATTTAAGATACCAATAGATATTTCACCTGGTGCAACTCGTCGAATTAGCAAACAAAGTTCACTAGCAACTTTGATAATAGACTGCAAATTAATAATTTGGGATGAAGCCCCTATGTCTAAAAGAGGAGCAATTGAGGCATTGGACGATTTGCTGCAAGATTTAATGAGTTCAGATGAAATTTTTGGTGGAAAGGTAGTAGTTTTAGGCAGAGATTTTAGGCAAACACTTCCAGTTGTATGCAATGGAAGTAAATCTGAGACAGTAAATGCATATTTCGTTAATTTGTCCTTGTGGCCTCATCTAGAAAAATTTCAATTAACTGACAACATGCGAGCTAGGTTGGATCAATCATTCACTCAGTTTCTTTTGAAAGCAGGAGAAGGTTTAGAAAAATCAGAAATTCAAGATTCTATTAAAATTCCTCCTTCAATTTTAATTAAATATAATAATGAGACTGATGCACTACAGGCATTGATGGATGCTGTATATCCAGACTTGAATCAACTGTCTCAAAATGCAGAATCATCTTTAAATAGAGCAATACTAACTACAAAAAAATCACTTTGTTGACGAAATTAATGACTTAATGATTGAAAAATTCCCTGGAAATAGCGTTGAATATATGAGTTTTGATGAAACAATCAATCTGAATTATCAAACTGAGTATATTGATTTGCTTAATACTCTAGCTCCCAGTGGTTTACCTCCTCACAGATTGATATTGAAACCAAATTCGCCTATTATTTTATTACGGAATCTTGATCCTACAAAAGGATTATGCAATGGAACTAGACTAATATGCAAAACACTGCACAAAAATGTGATCCATGCACAAATAGCAGTTGGTGAATTTGATGGCAAGCAAGTGTTTATACATAGGATTCCTTTACAGCCATCAAATGATGAACAATATCCACTTTCTTACATATTAAATCTTTTTGCTTCTTAACATGTTTCTATGTAACTAAAGCAGGATATGAATTTACTCCATCGTATAACACAAGCAATCCAAGGAAAGAGACTCATGTGTTTTGTTAAGAAAGCGACTCCAAGAGAAAAAGCAATCAAAGGAACAGCTTTCACCATTGTCACAAGCTATGAAGCTAAACAAGTCGTAGTTGGCCTACAGACTTCAATGAACCTTCACAATGGTTATGCATAACATTAATTTCCAACAATATAATGCTGATCTATTTATCGTTTGTGTTAATGTACTTCAACTTAGACTCCTTTGACTTACTAACTCCGTATGTTTTAATTCTGTTATCTTGTATTTGTCGATACTTTATGTTAATGTACTTCAATTTAGTCTCTTTTGCCTTGAAAAATAAATTTACTGATAAGCTATAAATCGAATTCTAATATAGATGTCCACCTATGAAACACAAAAAACTTCTGTAAAAATGCTAACCATCATTAATCCAATCTTACTCCCACCATTTTTCAATTTTTCTGCTTATGTTTGCTAATCAAATTATAGATATAATTTTAAAACACACATATATATATATAAGTATAAAATTTGAAATATAAATATAATAAAGACATATATTTTTTCATACAAATGTTAATGCATTACTTTGATTAATAAAGGCAAAAAATTTGTTGTGATAAAAACCAAATATCAACGTATAAATGAATAAAAATAAAATTGATAACAAAATTGCATGCTATACTTGGTCGTAATTTTAGTTAGGATTAATGACTCATATGTTAACTAAATATTAATGTATTATGACTCAAAAGAAAATTGACAAAAAAATGACTAAGTTCATCTATTCAAATTCAAATACTAATAATGCAATTGCTTTCCATTTCACAAACATTCCATCAAATTTTGCTAACCTTAAACACTTCAAGGTGTATATATATATATGTATATATATGATTATTGGGCCTAATTTGTATTGAGTGAAAAATTCTAAAATGGGGCTATTTCCTTCACTGTTCTAACTAAAATGCTTGTAATTTTCGTTCGTGCCTTGAACATGATGCTCTTTCAATTACCCGTAATGTCTCAAATTGTTGGAAGAGCTATAACTATGCGTTTTTAAGAGTTCAGAGGACAAAAAGATAAATCTGTTACTTAAAAGGTTAAAAGTGTAAAAGCATGAAAGTGTGAAGGTGATTTAGGTCTTTTGCCCTTCTTTTATTCATATCTTCATCAAATTTTTGTTCTTCTTTGACTTGGAATCTGCATTGTGGAATGAGCTACGGAACTAGGCAACGAAGGCAGGAGGAAACGTGCATTTGCCAACCGCGACTTCTATTTTGTCTAGGAGGACTTTGGAGCATCAAAAAACAATCATGCAAAATTTCTTTCAGGGGAAAAAAAGCGCAGGATCTTGTTACATTTGCAAGTATATAGTTTTTTCTTTTATCTCTAGCTTTCCGGTTTTTTAAACATTCATCGTCATTTGTAATTATGACCCATTTTTGTTCTAATTATTGATAATCAAGGAAGATTTATTGTCCAAAATCATACAATTTAATGAATTAAATACATATCTTTTGAATGGACGGAAAATCGTTAGCTCTTATTAAATTACAACAACCTTATTTTAACTTTTTTAATGGTTATTGCATTTTCCTTCTGTGTGTTAAACTTACGGAAGATAATTTTCAAAACAAATATTTGATAACATGCATAGAATGTTGAAAAAGCTGAATTAAGCCAAATACGCCAATTACCCCCAACAAAGGAAAATGGAAAAAAAAAAAAGAGAAAAAAAAAATACTATGAGAAGGGCTAGGCATTTTTGTATTGGGCTTCTTTGCAATCACATCTATGCTTGCATAGAACAATTTATTGTATGAGATGAACGAATTTAAATTTGGATGGTTAGGATTACATTTTGGGCCCAATTTTCTTAAAGTTATAAAAATTGTTCGGTTTTTGCCTATTGTTGTATTTAGGGGTGGGCAAAAATACCCGCCGACCCGAAAACCCGAGAGATCCGATCCGATCCGATCCGAAAAATAGGATACCCGATCCGATTTCTCTCAGCGGATCAGATAGGGTCGGGTACCCGGAATATTCGGATACGGATACGGATCGTAAAAGCAAAAACCCGCGGGTACCCGACCCGGGGTATATTATGTAATTATTAAAAATATAGGGGCAATTTTATAATTTTATAAGTTATTAACCCACCTAAAGAGTTCAGCCGACATTCTGATCGAGTGCAACATAATTTGCCTGTGTTCATCCTCTGTCTAGGCAATCCCTTTGCGCCGCTCCTGATCTGATCTTGAAGCCTTGCCTCCATCACTCCATGGTTAGACTCGCTGCTAAAGCCTTCCCTCATTTTTCCCCGCTGAAAATCCTCCCTCCGCGGCTCCGCCCTTTTGTTTATGTTCTTTACTCCGGGAAAATTGCATGATTTTATATATAATGTATTATCATTTGATTTTTTGTTGATTAGTATTGTTTTTTTTCTCAAATTTTCTGTTGCCCAATGATGGAAAAAATTGTTAATATTGAGGGGATTGACAGGGTTTAAAATTCAACTGCTGCCTTTGCACTTCACCGGAAAAATTAGCCGCCACCCACCTCTGTCCAGGCAATCCCTTTGCGCCGCTCCTGATCTGATCTTGAAGCCTTGCCTCCATGGTTAGACTCGCTGCTAAAGCCTTCCCTCATTTTCCCCTGCTGAAAATCCTCCCTCGGCGGCTCCGCCCTTTTGTTTATGTTCTTTACTCCGGGAAAATTGCTTGATTTTATACACACACACACACACACTGGTGCGTAGCTTGGCTGGGTTTTTTGTCGGTGATCTGTAAAAGGCATCTGTTGAATTACCCGTCAAATTCCGTCTATGATTCATTGAAGCTATGAGATCTGAGGGCTTCTTATGAAATATGTTTGAAATTTTTTGCGTTTTTGGGATATTTATTGCTTTAGTTTCTTATTTAGTTGTGGTGGCTTTCAACCATTTGATTCTTTTTGGTTTTTTATATAATTGAGATTATTTATTCTTTTCATGTATATCTATTAAATAATTCTTGATTTTTGCCCAGTGACAAAAATTTTGTGGCAAAAGAGCAGTTCTTTTGGTTGCTATTTATTGTTAGCCTTTTGTGGTGCCATTGCCTGATTTCCTCAGGGGAGCAAAGCATAATTAACCCTTTTTATTTATTCATTCATTTATCCATTCATCCATCCATTGATCCAGATGATCTTCTATCTATCTATCTATCTAGCTGTGATGATAAATCATATCAGAGTTGCCATACAGATGGTACCAAAAGTGCTTGATAAATGTCACTGCTAGTAACCTTAAACTGCAAATGATGGTTTTTGATTAAATATAGTCCTAAAATAGCTATCAAATCTGAGGACTTTTGATTTTATATCTTGTTGTTCAACATCTATTCAGTTGAACTTTCAGGCTTTGGCTCGTAGGTTTTGTGCATAGTATTCATTTATGGGGGATTTAACTAAGTTGTTGTTTTGGAATTTTTGCCCAGTGATGTTACTCAAGCAACAACAATAGAAAGGTTGCTTTTGATTTTCACAATAATTCTCCCCAGCATCTGGACGTACAGGCTACAGCAGGTTCATCTTATGAATGCAGAATTTGCATTCTTTAAATAGGGGCGGGTACCCGATGACCCGCCCCTATTTTTCGGGTATCCGAGGATCGGGTACCCGAGGACAATCGGAGCGGATTAGGGTCAAAAAAATAGTGACCCGACATCTTAGGGTCGGGTCAGCCATTTGCCGTTCGGGGCGGGTACCCGACCCGTGCCCACCCCTAGTTGTATTAGTGTCTAAATATGTTGTGCTAGTATTTATATTTATTGCGCTAATGTCTACATCAATGGCAGCAAAGCCACACATTATGTTGAGAGTGGGCAATTGTACCCCCATCAACTTTGCAAAATTTAAAAAATAGCCTTAGAATTATTACAAATATTTATGTTTTTTTTATCATAATTGTATCCTCCCCCCCTAATTTTTTTTTAAAAATACATATTTTTGTTTATATTACCCCTTATATTTTGAGAAATCTTCATTCACCACGCATTATTTCTTTGAACAATCAATTTTTAGAACACCTCTCGTACAATACAAATGTTTCAAAGCTATTAAAAGACAAAATCAACTTCTACTTGAATAAGAAATAACTTCAATCATTTCATAACACAAAAAATTGATAATTAAAACATAATCTTTAATTAAATTTTTCTTCACATAATAGTTATATCATTTTAGATCGATAATTGATTTGTTTGGATTGTAAGTTATTTGAAATATTTTTACTGTAACACTTTTTGTGATGTGATGTATGTGAGATGAAAAAGTAATTGAGAAGGTAAAAAGGTGTATTGAAAATTGTAATGATGATGTAAGTAAATATATTTGGGGAAATAAAGGCCAATCCAAACAAACCATTATCACCACTGCCTGTAGGTTCGGATTCCGCCATTGCTCTAAAGACTGTACATTGTAATGTGTAGTTAAAACTAGTTTGATTCGAATTTTTAAGTGTAAACTAATCTTGAGAAGTCACGCCAACAAGTGGCCGCCTTTTCTGACCTCTATGTTTTTATCAAAAGAATCTGGATAGTTTGTAGGGGAACCAGAAGGGAAACTCGGCGATGGCAGCGCCCAGGCGGCGATGCTCCATCCATCACTCCATATCTATATTTAGCTGAGACTTCAGACCCCCATTTTTGCATCTTTCTTGTGCTGCAACATTTTACTGTTTCAAGCCTTCCAGATAAATTAACTCAAATGTTTGATCATTTCCGAACAGCAGGGAACTGAAAAGCTTCTCTTATTTAATATTCAGCCCTTTCAAGGATCATCTTTTTGACTTTCCAGAAGCTGTTAAAACGAGAATTGTCTATTCTAGTTTACATTTATACATCTGACAATTCTTGCGAGGTTGTAAGAAGTCATGGCGGGATTCGAGTGTGATTTCCCTTCAATTACATCGTCTGGCCCTCTAAATCTGTCAAATTACCATGTTGATGCACTTCCAGGTGAGCATGACGGGGATTCTTCACTGCCGGGGGACACCTTTGGTGCTGTACTCCAGTACCTGAATCAAATGCTGATGGGGGAAGACTTGGAGCAGAGGCCTTGCATGTATCAAGAGCTTTCGGCTTTACAAGCTGCTGAGAAATCCTTCTATGATGCCCTCACTGGTAAGGAACTTTAAATGAACCAACCCTTTCTTCTAGTGATTGAGCTTTCTGGCGATATTTATTCTAGTATTTCTGGAATTGGAAACAACCTGATTGCATAAAAATCTCTACTTTTTCAAACACAAGGCTCACTTAATTACCAATTTGTTCACATTTCTTTGCTCTATTGTGGTTCTTTATTTGTATTTACTCAAAAAATTAGTTGTGGTTTAGTCACTCTTTAACAAGCAGGTATTTATTCTTGTTCTAGATTGCTGTAGCATTAATAAGAACGATATTGTGTAGCTGTTCGAGTAGAGAAAAGAGCAAAATCAACAAACAAATGACTGTCTCCCTTGTTGTTTTAGGAGTGGAGATTATTAAGGTGGCTGACGAAAAGGAGAAAGAGAGGGACAACTTTACAAATGGATCAGCGAGAAAAAGAAATCATTATAGACAAGATGATGAGCATGTAGAGGCAGGGAGGGCTACAAAGCAATTTGCCAGTTATGCTGAAGAGCCAACTGAGATTTTCGATGAGGTGCTGCTTTCCTCGAGCTCGAACGCTGGTTCTTGGGATTTGTCTTACTGTGATGCAAAACCAGGAAGATGGAATAACCAGCAGATTGGCCTAACCCAAGAGCCCAAACGAGGGAGGCCTCGTGCTAGTGAGAAGAAACTGACTATAAGGGAAGTGGTTGATATGAGAAGCCTCCTTACTCAATGTGCACAATCCATATCAGACTTTGATAATCGAACTGCCAACCAATTGCTGAATCAGATTAGGCAACACTCTTCTCCTCATGGTGATGGTAATGAAAGGCTGGCTCATTACTTTGCTGATGCCCTTGAGGCACGCGTTTCTGGTATGGGAACAACTATGTATACAGCCTTTTCTACGAGAGTGTCAGCAGCAGATACATTGAAAGCCTATCAGGCATATATCTTGGCATCCCCCTTCCGGAAAATGTCAAACATTCTTACTGGGAAGTCAATTTTAAAACTGACTACAGAAGCAAGCCAAATTCACATAATTGATTTTGGTATTCTGTATGGATTTCACTGGCCCTGCTTTATCCAGGCTTTATCGAAGAGGCCCGGAGGGCCCCCAAAGCTTAGCATTACAGGTATAGATCTTCCCCAACCGGGCCTTCGGCCAGCAGAAAGAGTTGAGGAAACTGGACGTAGGCTTGCCCATTATTGCAAGAAATTCAATGTTCCGTTTGAATATCATGCTATTGCAAGGAAATGGGAAACCATTAGCCTGGAAGAACTGAAGATTGACAGAAGTGAAACAGTCATAGCAACTTGTTTGTACAGGCTGAGGAATGTTCCTGATGAGACATCAGTTACAAGCAGTGCAAGAGACACCGTTCTCCACTTGATCAAGAAAATAAATCCTGATCTTTTCGTACATGGAATCCTTAATGGAACATATAATGCTCCCTTTTTTGTCACGCGGTTTAGAGAGGCACTACATCATTTCTCCTCTCTGTTTGATATGTTTGATAAGACCTTACCACGCCAAGATCAAGATAGGTTGGTGTTTGAGAAAGAAGTCCTTGGGAGGCAGTCTATCAATGTCATAGCATGTGAAGGTACTGCGAGGATTGAGAGGCCAGAGACATACAAGCAATGGCAAGCGAGAAATGAAAGAGCTGGATTCAGGCAGATTCCATTGAACAAGGACATTGTCAAAGAAGTTAGGGCCAAGGTGAAACTGCAGTATCACAAGGATTTTCTGGTGGATGAGGATGGCAAGTGGATACTGCAGGGCTGGAAGGGGCGAGTTATCTATGCACTCTCATATTGGAAGCCAGCTCACGAGTAATGAGGAATCCTTCCTGTTTATCACATAAGCATGAATGCTGGTTAAAATGTTTGGCAATTGATAAATAAATACCTCCTTAGCAATCTACATGTATTCTATAAAATTATGCAAGGAATTGGTATGTCTAAGTTTTACTGTTCAAATTTATTCAGTGCCACAGAAAATTGGTATTAACCTGTGAATAAATCAAGGTGAAATCCAGGACTAATAGTCTGTGTGAATATCACATTAGAAATTCTTATACTCTTGTGTCAATATCACATCATGAACAATGTATTTTCTCCATATAGCCATTGTTGCAATATCCATCATCATATGAAAGATGTTTGGAAGAAAGGCAGCCATCTGAATTCAACTGGCTTACAGCTAATGTTTTCAACTTGCACCTGTAATTACCACGGTGTTTCCTTTACATTGTGGAGTTTTAAATTACAAATTTATTTTAATGGGGACTAGATTATGGTTTTCCAATTTTAGTCTGATAAAGTTTATTAAGTCCATGCAGGTTTAGGGCTGGATGGCAGTATCGCTGTGTGCCATTTCAGGATGAAGCCTTGTTAATTGCGTCCATTTTTTTTTTCAATAAGCTGACCTTTCCTCTTGCAATTTTGTTGAAGCTGTGAATGATTACTTCCTGCTGTTTGCCTCCAGCCTGTAGATGTTTTCTTGAAGTTCAGACTAGCACACCAGAACGCCTAAGCATTGAGAGCAAGTACTTTGCTGCTGCTCAAATAAACATTTCTTGCTAATGTTTTTTAAGAACCGGAACAAATATAAGAACTTCTGAAGATTGATTTGACTTACTTTTTCTTGCTAGTATTTCCATTGCTCTCTCTCTCTCTCTCTTTGCCCCTTACATTCCTGTTTCACAAACCGTCTTCAAGGTATTAAGTTAACAGAGAGGATTCTGTAATCAGGCTGGGAACTCGCTGCCTTCTCGGGAAAGACACTTGAGTGATGATCGGAGGACTTGGAATGATATCATTTCATATGGACAAGGGGCACGGACGGTTGCAGGTGCAACTGTCTCGGACGGTTTTGGCCATTTTTAACTGCGCGTAACTTTCTTTGCACATCGCGTAACTTTTTTTGCACATCGCGTAATTTTAGAGCAAATTTTTGTGAAACTCACACATGGCGTGAAAATCGAGTTATAACTTGTAATCTCAACCGCACAAATTTTTGAGACCAGATCATGGCCATTAGCCGTTCAGGGACGGTCTTACTGATGACCGTCCCTGCCCCATTTCCCATTTGATATATACTAGCTAGGTATTTCCTAGTCTTCTAGATTCATGAAGTGCTAGTGTTGTTAGTGGTTTTCTGTGGCTTTAGTCATCTAAACGTAGGGCCATTCTGTCTAATCATGACACTGCCAGGACACTCAGTTCATATGAAACAAAAACAGAAACTACTAACAGATGAGCTTTTGTTGATGCATCTGTTAATAGTTTGCTGCAAACTGATTTGTCAATTGATCATAATCGTCGTTTCATGAATTGCAGAGAGGCGGATTGGTGTCTATGTTGTTCTACAGTGTTCTCATTAGAAAACATAAATACATGCGCCAAAGTCAATTTGGAACTGTCGGGCTCAGATTTGCTGTTGTTTTGTATGAATTCATCCATTAAAGAACAAAAGGACAAATTTCACAGCTCAGAAACCTTGACGGCTGGGATTTCAAGTCAAAGACTCTTCAGTCAGAGGAGCAGATATGAGTTTGTTCATTGAATTCTCTTCATACAGAGATTTTCTTCACTGACGTGAGAATTGTTCATTATTGTAAATTTGACTTTTTACCTTCAACATTTTGAGTTTGTCATTGCTTGCCTCTCTAGTCAGAGCAGCAGACATGAGTTTGTTCATTGAATTCTCTTCAAATTTTAGATTTTCTTCTGTGACGTGAGAATTGTTCATGTTTGTAAATCTGACTTTTTAACTTCAAGATTTTGAGTTTATCATTGCTTGCTTTTTTAATTCAAGAAACTTAAATCTTAGTACTCTTTTCTTAGAAGGCTAAACGTACTTCAATCATCCAGTCCTTGTATAGGACAATCCTTAGAACAAGCTTCAACTTTGACAGTAACAAATTCAGGAAGATTGATGCCTTACTGTAACCAAAACATAAAATCCAGTAAGCTCAATTGTCACCTGGAGGATATCAGAGACCTTAGCTCAATGTTTAGGAAATGCTCATTTGATAGTTTACCTGTTGAAGTGAATAGGCTCATTGAAAAACTGAGCAAGCTAGCTATGCGGATGCTTTAATGAGGACCTTTAGGTTCCTCTGTGGCTTAGTCCACTTTTGTAAAGCCTATGCTTGAGCCTTGCTCATATAATGTGTATGTTCTCATTAATTTTATGAATAAAATCGTTATCGTTTCTGGAAAAAAAAAAAAAAAATTTGTCACATGTGCATCAGTCACCATAATACGTACTAATATAATAAATGTACATGCCAGCACAACAAATATAGACAGTAGAGGAAATTATCGGGTAGTCACTAAACTTTTTCAATAGTCAAGATTTGGCTACTCAATTATTAGTAGCATGTTTTTACCCATTAAACTATCAAAAGTGTAAATTTTGAGCCATTTTGTCTGATTTCACCGTTAACTCTGTTAGATATAAGGGTCTACATAATTTATGAGATATACTATTAATGGTTAAATTTGGTAGTGTTAACGGTAAAATCAGATGGAATGATCCAAAATTTATACTTTTAATAGTTTAGTGAGTAAAAACATACTATTAATAGTTGAATGGCTAAAACTCAACTAGTTGAAAAGTTTAATAGCTATTGGGATAATTTGCTCTAGATAGTAATGTACGAAAAATACAACAAAATTTGTCGCAAAATCAATGTTTCAAATTAGATACACCTAGACATGAGCTGCATGATATCTATTGCTTTGACAATTACAAAATTACTCAATGCAGTCTGGAGCAGCAAAAGATCTTGGGTTGTATCTTGTGAAATTCATGTAATTTACTCATATAAATATGTTTTTGAATGCGATTGGGTTGCTATCCTTAACTAAAATAAGTATGCTAGAAGATAAAACATTTTTTTTTTTTGTATATCCATATTGCCTATTTTAAGTTCAAAAATAAATTTTGTTTTCCCTCTTCTAGAAAATCAGTTTACATGTGTTTTTCAGAGGAACTCATTTTTTCTATTCGGCAAACCCCATAAAGGGATGGATACTAGCCCAGATTTTATTAATTATTGAAATGAAATATTATATGGACTGGTGGAACGGTTTGTAGACCAAATCTCTAAAAATAACTAATGAACATAATGGCACGAAGGAAATAAGGAGTACTACTCCCCTCATCATTTTCTTTTTAATCGTAGAAGTAGAAAGAACAAAAAAAAAAAAAAAACCTTTTTGCCATCCTCAAAAACATTTAATTTTTTTTCAAAAATCAAGAAAAGCTGATAGTTTGTTCGTGCATCAAGCTATTTACTATTAAGGAATTAATGTTAGACTAAAATCCATGAGCTATCAAAACAGTTTCAAGGATTTGAATATTTTTTCCAACCATCTTGAATCCTTCTTAAATGGAGGTGAAAGATGATTTGGGATTCGGGCTCTGACCTCCAGATGCACAAGTAATCTTGATAGTTACGATTGAACCACATTAACTTGGTCTAATCTGGCCTGTTTATTTCAAGCTTTTTGAAGTTTGTAACGAGTACATTTTACTTTAGACCTTTCAACTATAAATGAGCTCCCATTGCAATCCTTAAACTTTAACTTTAAACATTTTATCTCCTAAAATATGAAATCTATCCACTTTAGTTCTTAAACTTCAATTTTGGACACTTTAATCCCTAAAGTATGAAATCTATTTCACTTTAATCCTGAAACTTTTAGTCACTTGCCTATTGCTTAGTTAGTTTTGACAATTTTGTGGGATAGATTTTTTGCTTTATAGGATAAAATGTCCAAAATGAAAGTACTAAAGTAGGATGGATTTCATATCTTAGGGGGAAAAGTGTCCAATATTAAAATTTAAGGACTGAAATGAGAGTGTGTTTATAGTTTAAGTGTCTAAAATAGAATTTAGCCTTTTGTAATTAACAAATCAAAGAGAATAGAGGCCTGTCCAGTTAATTTTGTCCAATTCTGTCCAATTATTGTAATTCGTAAAACTTTTGCATAAATTCATACAACTATGATACATTCCGGGATTAGTCGTATGAGTTCACCAAATACTGTAAGATTTACACAATTAGATAGACTGGATAAAAAAGTACAACGGAAGAGGTTCCACATCCTGAATAAGAGGTAAAAAGGACTACCCTACCAGGCGGGCCTCTACGAAATTGGAAACCAGGTGGCTGTAAGCCTATTCACTTTCTAGAAAGAAAGACAGGGTATTCTGTACACGGTAATCTAAGGAAAAAAAAAAACTGTGGTTTGTTAAGCATATCTGTTGGTTTCAGTGTCTCCAATTTCTTTGGGATCCGTAGCCATTTCCTGTACTCGCCACCTTTTGACTTCTTTCAATGGTGCATTACTGCAAGAAATTCAATGTTCCATTTGAGGCCATAGCAAAGAAATGGGAAACCATCCTATGGAGGATCTGAAGATTGACAGAAGCGAAACAATTATAGTTAATTGCTTGTGTAGGCTAAGACATGTTCCCGACGAGACAACAGAAGACAGCAGTGCGACGGACGATGTTCTGACGTTGATCATGAAAATGAATCCTATTTTTTTGTCCATGGAGTCATTAGTGGGACATAGAAAGCCCCATTTTTCATCACCCGCTTCCAAAAAGCGCTGCATCTTTTCTCTTCTTTGTTTGACATGTTTAAGAAAACTTTAGCACATATTGATCAGGACAGAATGATGTTTAAGAAAGAAGTTCTTCGAAGGGATCCCATGAATGTCGTAGCATGTGAAGTAGGAGTGACAATTTCTTACACAACATAAATCTAATACGAAATTAATGGGGTTTAGATTGAATCTTGTAGATTCGAATCGAAATTGGATCAGATCCGTTAGACTCGAAAAAATCAGGTTGAGTCAAGGTCAATCGCGGGATGATCTGGTTAATCTATTTATGAATTAAAAATAATTTAATAAATATAAAATATTTTATCTAACTTATTAACTATTTTCTATTTTTCTTGAACAAATCCTGAAATATCCTTATACCATTAACCTCAATTCGATCGTTTTCACTTTTCATTTTTCACAACTTTACTCTTTGTCTTCCGCACTTCACCTCTCACTGCTCACTAGCAGAGCCGGTCGGCAAGGCAGGACGTCGAAACCCCTGAGCAAGGCTGACTATTCTAATCCTTCTCCGAGCTTAACTTTTGCCTTCTGATTTCTAAACTTGTGTTGTGTGGCTTCTCTTTGAAGTCTAAACGACTGGCGATGGGCCCTTCTACTCTCTCTTAAGTGTCAAACATTGATGGACTCCAGAAGAATTCGGATTTCAGATCGATTATCGAAGAAGCTTAAATATTTATGTGCTTTTCATCTTTTTTTTTTTCTTTTCAGTGATGTAGGAGTCGATGAAGTCATAGCAGGCATATTTATATTGTAATGGCTTAAGCTAAACATTCTTGATTTCCTTCACCTCATGCATTGTTTTGAAAATCACATAAAATTGGACTGAAAATTTTTCTTGTTTTGATCTTTTGCTAGAGATTTTGAAGAGGTTTTTTGGAATCATAAATAACAAAAGACTCCGGACTATGTCCCATAATTCATGATTGTTTATAAACATACAATGTGATTCAATATTTACCTTCTTAATTTGTTGGGCTATACACAGCCTTGTTTGATTAAGATTTGTAAAGATGGATCTGCTACTGAAGTCAATAGTTACTTAGAGAATCAAATGATGCCATTATCTCATTGTTTAGTGGTTGTCTAACAACCCAAAGTGAGTAGTCTGATTATTGTGGTTGCAAGCATTATTCATAGGCTATTAAGCTGTCAAATTATTTGTGAATGCACCATCTTTCAAAATTTTTGTTTGTATTAAGAGAAAATTAACTTGAATTGACAATGACATGTATGTCTATTTATTGGTTAACAGATGAATGAAAGTAATCCAAATGCAAATCCAATTGAGGTTGATGATGATAGTGGTAGTGACAATAGCATTGAAGAGACAATGGAAATGAATCAATCTCAATGTCCTGACCCTGCTTTCAAAGGGAACAAAAAAGAGGAAGCTAACTTCTGAAGTTTGGGATTACTTTACCATCTTGGCTCCAAAACCGACTGAGGAATTGAAGTGCAAATGCAAAAAATGTAAGCACATCTATTCTGCAGAGAGTAAAAATGGGACAAGTAACCTTCTTCGACAAATAAAAAAATGTCAGAAAATGACAACTAAAGATATTGGTCAATATCTTCTTTCTCCTGATCAAGGAGCTTTGGCCACAAGCAATTCCAGTTTAGTCAGGAGAAATTTAAAGATTTAATGATGCATGCAATCATCAGATACGAGTTGCCATTTTCATTTGTTAAATATGAGGGAATTAGAAATGTTTGTTCATAGTTGGAACCACAAGTTAAACATGTTACTAGGAACATTGCGAAGGCAGATATAAAAAAATTTCATGCTAAAGAAATTGATAGGCTTGGGGCTAAATTATAGTTATGTCCTAGTTGAATTTCTTTGATTTCTAATGCATGAAGCTCCAGTTATTGATGGGTACTTGAGTTTGATAGCACACTTTGTTGATAATAATTGGGTGCTGCAAACCAAAAAAATCTGATTTTTTCTTACGAGCTTTCTCCTCATAGTGGAGTTGCTCTAGTAGAAAAAATTTATAGTTTGGTTAGTGATTGAGGCATTGAAAAGAAATTGTTCACCATCACTTTGGATAATGCTTTTGCAAATGATTCTTGTGTACAAATACTTAAGAATCAGTTTAGGTTGAAAGGTGCTTTGATGCATGATGGCATTTTATTTCATGTGAGGTGTTGTGTTCATAGTCTAAATCTGATTGTGCAAGATGGTTTGAAAGAAATTGATGTCCCAGTAGATAGAATAATGGAATGTGTAAAATATGTGAAGAGCTCTCAAGTGAGAAAAGTAAAGTCTACTAAATGTGTAGTACAAACATCCCTTGATTCTAAAAAAGACTCAGTTCAGAATGTCCAACTACATTGGAGTTCCACTCATAAGATATTCTCAAGTGGTCTTTATTATTATCTTGCCTTTTGTCACTTGCAATTAAGTGATTCCAATTTTCGATGTTGTCCATCTTTAGAACAGTGGGAAAGAGTTGAAAAGATTTGCAGTTTTTTAGAAATTTTTTATGATGCAACCATTGCCTTCTCAAGATCTGAGTACCCAACTGCTAACTTATACTTTCCACAAGTTTTTCTGATTCAATTAAAGTTGTTTGAGGACTGTAGGAGTTCTGATGGTTTTATGAAGAAAATTGCAGAATAGATGGTTGTGAAATTCAAAAAATATTGGTCTGAGTTCAATATTGTGAGATTTGATCCTAGATACAAATTTCAGCTTCCTGAGTTTAGCTATCAAAAGTTATATGGTCAGGGATACACTTTTTAGTCTTTTCAATGAATATGTTAGAGCTTGTAAGACATTTCAGCCATCATCTTCCCATTATTGGGGTAGCAATGAGATGAATGAGATATTCTTTGATGTAGCAGAAGCACAAGAAAAAAAAATTAGTGAATGTTTTCAAGGTGTGATGATAATATTTTTTAGTATTATTGATTTATTAGTTTATATACTCCCATCTAGTTTTAAAAATGTTATGTTCTCATTTTCATGTCTGTTATATCTCTCTTTCAATGTCATGATCATAGGAAGTTGATGAATTTGATAGTTTTGAATTTACCATTGGTGCACAAAAAACTCAATTGGAATGTATCTAGATGAGACAAGAAGTAAAAGAAAATCTAAGATTCATGTTCTTGACTATTGGAAGGTTCGACAGTATCAATTTCCAGATCTAGCAAAATTAGCTGGAGATATCTTATGTGTTCTTGTATCAACCGTTGTATCAGAATCTGCTTTTAGCCTTGGTGGTAGGAATCTAGATCAATTCCTAGTTCATTGTCACCACTAATAGTTGAAGCTTTAGTATGCACTAAAGACTGGTTGTTTGGGGACAAAGGTATAATTAGTAAATTAATGTTTCCTAATATCCACTTTGTTTCTTTAGTATTTTATACTTATTTTATTTTTCTCATCTTATTTATGTAGAGATGACAGATTTGAGGTTGGAGGATATAATTCAAGACATCATGTCTTTAAAGATATTAAAAGATGATGCACAATTTGTTGGAAATTTAAACTCTAATGTGGTCAACCTCTAAGTCATTGAGCTGGTGAGTTAAAGTTATAGCATAATATGTTTTATTGCACTTATATGTAACAACATTAATACTTTGATATCCGTACCTATTGCAGGTAGCTTAAAAAGGTGCTTGCATCCCTTGATTTAGTGAAGGTGGAAGTTGGAAGAGGAATATCAATTTGACCGCTTGAGCTTGGAACCTTGGACCAGTGATTCTATTTTAGTTTCATGTCTATTTTGTTGCTATTTAGTGTTTATGGCTTGTAGCAATTGGGATTCAATGATGAAGTGATGATATTGCGACTTGCTATTATCTTATGTCTTTTTAGTATTTATTATAGTTTGTAGCCATTTGGATTTGATGATGATATTAGGAGTTGGGACTTGAGCTTATCAGCATATGCTATGTCTTTTTATGGCTTGTAGTCATTTGGATTTGGATTACATTTGGTGAATGCCTTTTGTGTATGATTGCTTGAATGGATTTTTTTATTTCCACTGGGCAATTGACATTGCTGATTATTATAGGTAATTAAACTGATTTGTAGTTCTATGCTTCTATTTTAGATGATCAACTAATCATTTATAAGGCAGGTTGAAACAGGTTAGGTTCAAGTGACCAGCGAAAATTGCGATTTGTGTTCAGGTCAAGGGACCTGACCTGATAAAATAAATGGGTTGTGTCCGGGTTGACGACTTTTCTAGAATACCCGTGTCTTAACCTATCCTGTCAACCCGTGACCCGACCTGATTACCACCCCTGTGAAGGTGTTGAAAGGATTGAAAGGCCAGAAACATACAAGTGGTTCGTGCTGATTTTTAGTGGCCAACAAACCAACGCCAATGTCATGATTGCTGCGACCATGGCATTTAGTTAACACCACGAAAATGATAGAAATGAATTGATATCAGTAAAAGAGAGTGCTCACCGATATTCTATGACTTCTAGACCAAAGTTATTTGTTCTACCTTGAACAACCTCAAGAACTTAAAATCTATGACAAAGTAACCGATCAAAGAAGAAATGAGAAGGAAAGACTGATTTGCAACTGAAGCTAACAAATTGTTTAATATGAAAGTAACAACTGCTTGGAATGATACAGAGTGCATGAGAATTATATAGATTGCTTGAGAATAAGAAACTTGCTTGGAATTCAAAGGAAACTGATTCTGAATTCATATCAAATATAAAGAAATTTATAGAACTTAATATTGATTGAAAGCATGAAAATGACGAGTTGCTAGAAAAGGAAATGTTTGTAAGAAAATTGGAAATCCTAAACCTAGCCTAAAAGCTTCTAAGAAAGCTTGCTAAAAGAAAGAGCATTTTTCTAAAGATATTGTCTTTGATTTGGATGTTGTTGGAGAAGTCCTCAATCTGGTCTCTCTTCTAATAGTTGTAGTATTAACGATCACTTTGCCATCTACTGATAAACTCACTTCTACTTTTAACACCTTACTATCAAGTGCAACTACCTATCATGTCAGCTTTATCAGCCGATCATGAGTAGTGATAACTGCCCACTCCCATGTATTTAGGATAATGTAACTGTCATATCCCTACTTTGTAAGGCCAGAATCTAATCCTCATATCTTTCTTCGCCAACCACTGTCATTGACTCTATCTCGCATCGACACTTGATCAATCTCTCATGACCTGGTCAAACTTTCAAAAAGGAAGGGCTAATGTAAAGAAGAGATTAGATAGGGCAATATGTAATGAATGATGGAGGATTCACTTCCCTGAAACCTATATTCGCTACCTCCCACGCACCCACTTTGACCACCACCCAGTGTTGGTAACTCTAGATAAGGGTAATAGTGGGGGAAGGCCAAGGCAATTTTGCATAGAGATGGCATGGACTACTTATCCTACCATTTAGAGTATGATTAAGTCCGTATGGAAATCAGATAAGAAGATGTGGGATAATATATCTAACTTCCTGGAAAAAACTCAACACTAGAACATAGAGGTTTTTGGGAACATATTTCAAAGGAAGAGGAGATGTTTAGCAAGGATTGAAGGCATCCAAAAGTCACTGACAATAAAACATAACCCTTACTTGGAGAAATTGTAGATGGATCATGTTAAGGAGTATAACCAGATTCTGGAACAAGAAGAACTTTTGTGTTTTCAAAAATCAAGAGTGAATTGGCTGAACTATTGTGAGAGAAATACATGTTACTTCCACAGCTCAATAGTGATAAGAAGAAGGAGAAACCATGTGGATTGTCGGAAGGATGATCAAGTGAAGTGGCAACAAGTCCAAAAAAGCACTTAAAGCCATGGTGGTGAAATTTTATAAAGACTTATATTGTACGGAAGGGGATACCATGAATGATTTTAGTTGCTCAGTCAAATTTCCAAGAGCTGAGGAAAGAGATTTGAGATGTGATTAGACAAGTATGCTCAGAAGAAGTTAAACAAGCCTTGTTTAGTATCAAGGATATATAAGCACCTGGCCACAACGGAATTAGTGCCTTCATCTTCCAAAAGGGATTGGAGATCGTTATGGAGAGCCTTGTAAAATTTGTCAAAGATGCTTTCTTCAAAAAGGCAGTGCCATCCCAAGTGAATGACACCATCATATCCCTTATTCCCAAAGTTGGGAACCCAGAGAGGGTAACCCACTTTAGACCTATTTCCCTATGTAGCGTTTCATATAAGGTGATCACTAAAATTCTAGTCCGGAGGATCAGGCTGCTAATGACTCAAATAGTTGGCTAGGAACAATGTAGGTTCATCGCAGGACAACAGTCCTCAGATAATGTGATAATCCTACAGGAGATAGTCCACTCAGCTAAGAGGAAGGAGAAAACAGGAGTGATAATCGTCAAAGTGGATTTAGAGAAAGCATATGACCGAATAAGCTAGAAATTCTTTCATAACACACTAGAAAATATGGGTTTTTCAGAGGAGGCAATGAAACTAATTATGAGTTGCATGCAAGTAAATAGAGCAATCACTCCCAGAAGAGGACTTAGACAAGGAGATCCCCTTTCACCATATTTATTATCCTGTGCATGGAGAGGCTGAGTCACCTGATAGCTGAAGCAGTTCACCAAGGGAAATGGAAACTAGTGAGGGCATCAAGAAATGGACCAAGAATTTTTCATCTTATGTTTGCTAATGACTTGATTCTTTTTGCTGAAGCATCAGAGGAACAAGCAATGGTAATTAGGAAGGTGTTGGAGAACTTCTGTGCAATCTCAGGCCAAAAAGTCAACATGGCGAAATCCAAAATATTTTGCTTAGGGAATACTCCTAGAGAGTTGGCTAGGAGAATAAGTAAAATGACGAAAGTTTCCTTAACGACTAATCTAGGGAAGTAATTAGGTGTGCTAGTCTTACATGAGCGGGGAACTCAGGCCACTTAAATAGAGATGCTGGATAAAATGCATGCAAGGTTAGCAGGGTAGAAGAGAAATTGTCTAGCCTATGTAGCCAGAGTCACTCTTATTAAGTCGGCATTAACTGCTATCCCAAATTATATGATGCCGACTATTAAATTACCAAACCTAGTGGTTGATAAAATAGAGAAATGTATCACGGGATTCCTCTAGGATGATTCTGAGGAGGATGGTAGGAAAATGAACCATTTGGGTTGGGATAAAGTTGCACAGCCCAGGCTATTTGGAGGTCTGGGAAAATGAAGAATTAATGCGAAAAATAAAGCTTCACTTGCCAAGCTAAGTTGGAGATATCACAGGAACAAAAATGAATTATGGACAAGGGTGCTACAGTCAAAGTGTAGAAGTAGAATAGAAGATATTTTATTACTGAAGAAGGTAGGGGAGTCCCAAGTTTGGAGGGGTATTAAATTAGGGAGCGAATTAGTAGCTTTAGAGGAAAAATAGACACTAGGGAATGGACAAATCATTAGTTTCTAGATAGATAAATGGGTAGGAGATAGCAATTTGGAGGAGGAAGTTGTTGTTGAAATACCTAAAGAGGAAAGAAAGAAAAAGGTGACGGAGTATTGGGAGAAAGAGAGAGGATGGAAATTCAATATTATCTCTAAATTTCTATTAACCGAGACTATACTAAAGTTGTTACCTATTAGGGTTGATGAGAAAGGGAATAACATGGATATAGTAAGCTAGGGAGAAGAAAATAATGGAGATTTCACCACGACATCAGCATATGATTATGGAGGAAAATGAAGACAGAAACTAGAATAAACTATGGAAGCTCAAGGGACCTGAAAGATGGCAATTCCTACTTTGGCTAGTTAGGCATGAGAGGCTTATCACCAATGGCGAAAAGTATAGAAGACACCTCTATCCCTTTGGTAGGTGTCCAATTTGCGAAATCAGCATTTGAGTCCATATTGCATATGTGACAGCTCCACCTCCCCCTAAGGCGAATCAAAGGGTTTGGCGGACCGCCTGCCCATCTCTCGCCGGGACTCACTCACTCTCTACAGTCCTCCAATCAATTACAATACACATATCAAATAATACATCAAATTCTCCATGAATTACATATCACAAGCGAAGTAAAAACTAGTTCCCAAGCGTGGAACGTATACATACATTCGTTCAATTCCAAACATTCACACAAACCCAACTATTACACAAGATGAATCTAAAACTCAAACTATACAGGAGATAATCCATCCAGTCACACGGAGAACTTAATACAAGTACTTCCTTTGTCTCGAGCCCTATGGGGAGAAAATAAATATTTTGGGTGAGCTAGAAGCTCAGCTAGTGTCCAGTAAAATCAATAATCAACCAGTTTCACAATAATGCGTTGAAATGATATCATGAATCAATGATCAAATGTATGTTTATTGCTCTTGTGAGCCAGTGAAATCACCGTACTTAGAACTCCAACGCTCAAACAGATTCAGTAAGTCAAACAGTACAAAGGAGACATCGGTGCTCCAGATAAACAGTAGAGAGACGTTGGTTCTAAGTACAAGATTTTCCAAAAACTCAATGGAGCCAAATCATGTCATGGCACACACACAAACACAAATGATATGCAATCGAGTAAACAATGCAAGAATTAGTTCGAAAAGTAACTTTGAAAATAGTTGTGGAATCACTCACCAATCACAGCTCATGATCCATCCATCATAGATCATTGCCTTGATCAAGTCCAAACCCTAGATTACAAATATCATGTCAAGCAAAGGGAATTCTAAAATCAGCAAGTTCCTATCACCTTTTGGCATTTTAATCACAATTGAAGCTACACTTATCCGATTGAAACGAATCTTATGGCGTTACGAAGCTAAGACATATACCCACATTTCTTATGAAGACCTCCAAAACCAAATTATACATTTTCATGGTCAAAAATCGAAATCTTAGAGAAAAATGGAAACTGTCCGTGAAACAGGGCTTAAGGGCAGTCAAGGGTATTTCAGTCATTTCACATGCTACAGTACTCCAATCCATCTGAA